TTGGTGTGCTTGAAGTTGTCCCAGAAGCTCCTTACATTATCCTCATTTCTTTTTTTTTTGTTTGTATGTTTGTTTGTTCCTGGATGTGTTTGGGGAGTTTGGTTTTTTTTGGGGGGGGGGGTGATTTGCTGCTCTGATTGGGTGTTTTCTGCTTCCTTATATTCCAAATCACTGATTTGATTCTCTGCTTCATCTAGTCTGCTGTTGATTCTCTGTAATTTATTCTTTTTCTTTAAAAAATTATTTTTTAGAGAGGAGGAAGGGAGGGAGGGAGAGAAAGAACTATCAACATGTGAGAGAAACATCGATTGGTTGCCTCTCGCATGCCACCAAATGAGGACCAGGCCAGCAACCTAGGCATGTACCCTGACCAGGAATCAAACTGGTGACCTTTTGTTTTGCAGGCCTGTGATCAGCCCACTGAGCGATACCAGCTAGGGCTATAATTTATTCTTTATTTCAGTTACTGTATCCTTCATTTCTGACTGGTTCTTTTTTATGGTTTCCATGTCTTTTTTTATGCTGTTGAAATTCTAAGTTTCTTAAGCGCCCTTATAACCATTGTTTTGAACTGTGTATCTGGTAGTTTGTTTGTATCCATTTTATTTAATTCTTTTTCTGCATATTTCTCCTGTTCTTTCATTTGGGACCTGATTCTTTGTCTCCACATTTTGGCTGCCTCTCTGTTTGTTTTTATGTATTAGGTAGAGCTGCTACATCTCCTGGACCTGGTAGTGTGTTCGATATAGTAGGTGTTCTTTAGGGCCCAGGGTCACCCAAGCTGGGTTCTCCAGGTGTGCCCCTGTGTGGGCTGTGTGCACTGTCCTGTTGTAGTTGTGCCCTGATTGCTGTTGGAACATCACTGGGAGGGATTGACCCCTAGGCCAATTAGCTGCAAGGACCTTCTGCTGTGCAGGGTCCAACCCCATGAAGCAGGACTCACTTCGTTGGGGTTTTGGTGCCCACCAAGTCTCGCCCTTGAGTTTGTTACTCACAGAGGTGCTTAGCTTGTAATCTGGCATGGCCTGAAGCTGTTTACCAGGTGCATTGGCTCTGGGGCTTCCCTGGAGGTGCAAGGTCAGCTAGCACTTGTGCCCTGCCCCGACCACATGGCATGAGCTACAGAGCCATCAGCAGATTGCTTCTACTTGTGCTATGCTTGGAGGTGCCTGGGAGAGGCCAAGCTTTGAACTGAAGAGGCTGGCTGCAGCTGGTGCCAGGCCTGGGGCCGCTTAGCAAGAGGTATAGGGTGTGCAGAGATTTTAGAAAAGTCCAAAGCATGAGCCAAGACCAGCCATTTGTGTGGAAAAGCCACTGGAAATGGCTTGGATGGGTCCAAAAGTGGCGGTGTGGGGGGCAGGTAGTGTTAGCCTGGTCCACTGATACTCAGATATGGCGCCACCTGCCTGCTCTGTGGCAGAAGGGCTCAGCAGTGGAATAATGGCCTATGCCAGCAGTTCTGTCAGGGAGAAAGCTACCCCTCCAATTCTCACTCTGGTGGCAGACAGTTAAGATATCTCTCCCCTCCCCTGCCCCTTTATGCCCTTGGTTCAGCCTTTCTAGCTGCTGCCTTAGTGCTGGAGCTGAGATGAGTGAGTCTGAGTAAGCCCATGTGCAGGCCCTGTAAGGGGAATTCTGGGGCTCCAGGAGCCTCTGTCTCACTCAGCCACAATCTCCACTGGTTTTTACAGCCAGAATTTTGGAGACCTTTTGTTTGTTTGTTTGTTTGTTTGTTTGGGCACTGGCACTGTGGGCTGGCAGTTCTGATATGGGGTGGGACCCCTTGTTCCTTGCGGCGGGGTGGGGGGGCGCTCGGAAGCCAAGATACCGCTCCTGATTTTTAACTCACATGTGAGTGTGGGACCAGGCCCATTTCATGTCTTCACCCCTCCTACCAGTCTTAGTGTGGCAGCTTCTTTATATCCTTATTTATAGGACTTCTGTTCTGCAAGATTTCAGGCATTCTGAATGATGCTTGTTCTGTAATTTAGTTGTAATTTTGATGTGGTTGTGAGAGGTTCTGAGTACTGCTGTTAAGTATTCTACCACTTTGACTGGAACCAGTTGTGATACTGTTTTTAATGAAGGCCTTAGCCAGTCTCATGAAGCTGGGAGGAGTTATTCCAAGTTGGAGCAAAGTGCCCTGGCTTTTGGATATGGGCTGTCCCAGAAAGAAGATATTACTGGGGTTGAGGCTGTGCTCTTTAGCAGAGGCAGTTCTTTATCCCAACTCTAAAGTTCTTTAGTCTAAAGTTCTTGAGGCTAAAGAACTTTAGCAGAGGACCGATAGCTGAAAGCTCTCTTCTACTAGTACAGCTGGGACAACAAATCCTTCAGCCCTAAAGGGATATTTGTGTAGTTGGTGTTAATCCAGTTACAGTTTCCATTAAAGGGAGTCAGGGTCAAGATGATATGTATGAACTAATCATGATGTGCTGTGGAAATGTGGAAGCCCAGAAGAAAGACTAATTGCTAGATGGGGTTAGGGAAGGCTTATAGAAGAAATGACCTTTGAGCTAGGTTATAAAGAATGAATTAGTAGGTTGTTTGGTAGGGGCAAGGGTGGAGAGGGGGGCGTATTTCATTGAGCCAGTGATATTTCATAGCATAGTCAGGAAAATGAATGATTTGTTCAAAGAGCAAAGGGTTCAGTGTGTTAGCCATTCTTTAATTCCTAGCAGTCATAATTATCTTGAGGCTCTTTTCAGAATCTTGGTTTGCTTTCATGGTGATAAATTTTTAAAAAAACATTTAGAATCTCAGTCTGATCACAGTTGAGACTAAGCCAAGATCATTCTTGCCAGAACCAGAAAGATAGGCTGAGCTTGAGTGAGGTGCTTTTCTTCCAGTAAATTGGATTTGGTCCCTGCATTGTTCCTTGTCCTTGGGTTTGGAACAGATGAATTTCCTTAATACTGCATATGTTCTTGCTCGTTGCTTAGTATATTCCTTTCTAGGATTGACCGTGTCCATGGGAAGTCAGAAGATACCACTTACCACTTCTTTAACCTTGCTAAATACCTGATTCTGTTTTCTCATCTGTAAGGTGGTAATGCATAATATCCTTTCAAGGTTGTTGAGATAACATGTAACAGCTTAGAAACTGTGAGGTATTTCTCAGGATATTTTATTACTACTTAAATCCCTCTTGAAATATATATGTGAATTTAGTTTTCTTTGTTAGGGTAAGATGATTAAAAATCAAATTTTGATTGTTAGGAGCTATGGATTGAGTCTGTGGGAAAGAGTCACCAAATTAATATGGTAAATGCCCATTCTTTCACTTTGTGATACCTGATAAATCACGAAGGCAAGAAACTTAGAGCAGATATCAGTACTGACAGAGAAATGAAGATCACATAAAATATAGCCTGTAGTTCCAAAGGAATGCATTAGAGTCACTGGAGGAGCCTTTCAAAATATAATTGTCTAGATCAAACCCTGGATATTTTAGTTCAGTATTTTTAGAATGGGACCTGGGGGGATGTGTTTTGAAAAGCTTTTCAGCTGATTCTGATGTGGTCTGGCCCTCTTAGACCACTGGTTTCAGTGAGCTTTGTTTAGTCAAAGGAGTTATTAAATTTCTTGATGTTGGGATAAAGAACTAAATGTTGGAATTTGTTCCTAGGAGAGTTTAGGGGACAGAATATTAATTCCTATAACATTAGGTATTTAGAGACAGCTTCATCTTTTCCAGTGTTGCACAAGATGTTTCAGGTGTTAGAATACCTGGAAGTGCTAATGGACACTAGAACAACAACAAAAAGAAACCCCGTTATACTTAATTTTATTATATGAACAAGTTATGATTTTACTAGAAGATAAAAACTGTATTATGTGTATATAATAGGGAAAGCATTGTGCCTGTCAAAAAAAAAATCCAAATAAGTGGGATTGGCTGTATGAGTTTTGTTTTGTTCTTTTTAAACCCTCACCTGAGGATGCATTCATTATTGTAGAGAGAGAGGAAGGGAGAGAGAGAGAGACATCGATTGGTTGCCTCCTGCGCATGCACAGACCAGGAATCAAACAACAACCTTTTTTTTTTTTTTTTTTTTTAACTTTTTATTTTAATGTGAGCAACCTTTTTGGTATGCTGGACGACACTCCAACCAACTGAGCCACTCTGCCAGGGCAAATGAATTTTTATATTAAAAGTAGTGTACTCATTTTCTTCTCTGCTGGCAGGTAAGTGGTAGCAGTGATCCTAAGTTTAAGGAAAATTTATGGAAGGGGAAAGCTTTTATTTTTTTAGTAAACTATACAATTAAATTATTTTTATTTAAATTGAGGCAAAAAAAACCAAACTGCCCTTTTGTACTTGTGAAACACTTTGATCCAATTCATTAAGTGACTGGATATGTAATTTAGATACCGGAGGGGAATCATTCATGTGAGGGTATTCTATAATGTTCCCAGAAGTAGTAGAAAATAGATAAGTTGGAAACCATAGAGAAGAGTTTTAAGAAGTAATCTCAAAGAGACTGTCAGGTCACCATAATCTCTGGGATTTGGAGATGGGATGAGGGGCACACATTTTGTATACATAAAAGGGCGGGGGAGTACTTTTTTACAATTCAAGCTATGAGAAATAAACCCTGACAAAAATGTTAGCTTCTCAAGTGGTTAGGATAGCACAATATCATTGTAATTTTTTATGGGAATTACACATAACCTCCTAGGTGAGCCATGTCAAGATCTGGCATAGTGGACCTGAAATCTTCATTAAAGGGTAGGCTTATGTTTTAAAAAGTTGAAAAACATTGTTTTAAATGGATGGGTTTTGGTGGGATCTGTAGTTTAACCTCATGTTATGCTATTCATTCAGCTTGATTCACAAAGTCTATCTTACTATACACAACTTTAGGTTATTGAATGAGAGTGAACATTATATACTACATTTTGAACAGGCCTAAGGGAGTTTATGGCCTGTTCATATGAAAGAATTACACTGTATTCCATGGTCTTTAAGCTGATACTTTCTTTTTCCTTCTTTCCAGCTTCCTGAAGCAAAGAGTCATTTTGAAGATGTTTAATAAGTCATTTGGAACTCCCTTTGGGGGTGGTACAGGTGGTTTTGGCACAACTTCAACATTTGGGCAGAGTAAGTTTTTAAAAAAGGAGGGGCACGTAAGGAATCATAAAGTATTCTTATTAAGAACGAATTGACTCTGATGGCCTTAGATAGGAATTTTATTCATACTTTGGTTTTTATAATAAAATCTTTTTGAAAAATGATCAGGATAACATCTTGTGAAAATTTTCTAAGAAAATAGAAATAAATTTTAAGAGTTCATAGCTTTCTGATCATTGGTAGATATTTAAAAGATTTTTATATTGACCTTTTTAGCAGAAAGTTTGTTGCTAATTTTCAGACCAAGTCCATAATCCCCACCAGCCTTCCTGAGATCCACTTCCCTTCCCACCCAGCATTGTACCAGACACTCATTAGTTACCTATAGCAACCCTTATTAACTCATTTTTAAACTTTTTGTTAAAAAATTTGTGTTGGGAGGTTTGAGGCAACATTGGTTAATAACATAAGTTTTAGGTATACAACATAGTTTGGTATCTGTATACCGTAGCATACTCACCACCAAAAGTCTGGTTTCTGTTGCCATACATTTGACTCCTTTTACCTATTTAGCCCTCTCCTCAAACCCCCATCTCCTTGCTAACCACCAGTCTGTTGTCTGAGTAGTTTTTTTGTTTCTCTTTTGTTTTATATCCCATGTATGAATGAAATGATACAATTTTCATCCTTTTTTGACTCATTTCACTTGGTGTAATACCCTCAAGCTTCATTCATGTTATCACAAATGGCAATGTTTCATTTATTTTTAATTTCTGTAATGACTGAGTACTATTTCATTATGTATATACGTGTGTGTATATATATGTATGTACAGGGTTCAGCACAAATAACACCCCTTTTTTACTACAAAATCATAGACATGTACTTTTATAATATAACATCATCACACTCAAGCACACCATATGACGTTTTAGGTGAAATGTTCAAATTAAAACTATAAATTATTACAACCATATTATTACCCTACCAACCATACTCAAGCAGGCATTGCTTCTGCCAGACCCTGTCTATTTCACATCTTTATCCATTTATCCATTGATGGACACTTAGGTTATTCCCATATCTTGGCTAATATAAATAATGTTGCAATGAATATAGGGGTGCATATTTTTTTTCATGTTTGTGGTTTTTTTTTTCAAGATTTTTAAAATTTATTTTAGAGAGAGGGAATGGGAGAAAAAAGGAGAGAAACATCAACAGGTTGCTTTCCACATGCGCCCAGGTGGGGGACCAAAGCCAAAATCCAGTCATATGTCCTGACCGGGAGTCAACTGATCACCTTTTGCTTTGCGGGTCAGTGCCCAGCCAACTGAGCGACACCAGTTAGAGCTCGAATTAGTGTTTCCGTACTCTTCAGATACCTACCCAGATGAAGAATTGCTGGTCCATATAGTAGTTTTATTCTTTATTTTTTGAGGAATATCCACATTGTTTCCTGTAGTGGCTGTACTTATTTACAATCCCACTAACATTTTTGCTCCACATCCTCATCAACACTGGTTTCTTGTCTTTTTGGTAATAGCCATCTAACAGGTGTTAGGTGATTGTAATTACACAAAAGTATAATGAACTGTCATATACTTGTCTCCCAGCTTCAACAATCAGTGTTTTCCCAGTCTTATTTTTAACCCCTTTCTTTTTAGGGGAAAAGGAGGAGTATTTTAATACAATCCCAGAAACTTACTCCAATTGATCAGGATTTTATTTTATTTTTTTATTTTTTAAGATTTTATTTATTTTTAGAGAGAAGGGAAGGGAGGGAGAAAGAGGAAAACACCAGTGTGTGGTTGCCTCTTGCGTACCTTCTACTGGGGACCAGACCTGCACCCCAGGCATGTACCCTGACTGGGAATCGAGCCAGGAACCCTTTGGTTTGCTGGCCAGCACTCACTGAGCCACACCGGCCAGGGCTGATCAGGATTTCTAAAAAGCATAACTACAACCCTCAATCATACATAATAAAAATGACAATAGAGAACATCTTTAATGTGTGTTCTGACCTCTTAAAGTATTGTACATTTAGGTAATTGGTTTTTTAAACTAATAATTCCCATGTGTCAGCTTTGGGGTGGTGGTTTGTTTTTTTTCCTCTGAAATATTTCCCATTATAGAATTATGGAATTAGGATCTCTGGAGTTGGAACCTGAATATATGTATTTTGAAAGCACTTCCCAGGTCATTCTGATGCGCTCCCTAAATTTAGGGCCATTCATATCAGTGACTCTGGAGCATATGATGTGTGGAAAGACTTTTAACACTTTAATTTCGATGATTTTACTTTTGTATTAGGTTGGCCAAAAAGTCTGTGTGGTTTTTATTTCTGTAAAATAAAAGACATTTTTCATTTTCACCAATAACTTTATTGCTTTGAGTACTTTGGGTATGTTAGCTATCTCCCGTGTGGTATATAACATTGAGTGTTCTCAGTTAATATCTCGATTTTGATCACTATCAGTTTCAACTGGTCATCTGACTGTGGAGCATCATCCAGTGACAGATCTCCAGCACAAAACTTCAAAAACCACTTTTGACATGTTTGAACAGTCACAGCAGCTTCACTCACTCCACAAGTCTTTTTGTGTTTTCAGTTGTGTTTTTACCCTTCTTGAAATAATAAAGCATAATATGCAGAAAAGATTATGTATTTTTTCCATCTTCAATATTAAAACGGCTATACAAAAATTCACCAATTTTGATTTTTTTTTTAAATGCACAGTAATGTGACAGTTGTCACAATACAATCTAAAAAAATTGTTCTGAATGAAGTTAAAGACAACTAAGTACTGCTAGAACCATCTTATGGGAAGAAAACAAATGAACTTTTTGGCCAATCCAATATGTAACTCATAGTCACTAGTTAGCTTGGCACTCTTTTTTAACGTACATAGCAATAACTTTTATTTAAGTTGCACCTTTTTACTTCGCTTTCTTACTTTACCCGGGGACAATAAATAAAATGTGGCTTAATTTTAACTATAATTTGTAGTCTGATGGAATTTTGAAAAAATAGTTTAGATCAATGGTCATATCCAAATGCAGAATTTTAACAAATAGTAATATTCTCTCTCATTGTGTCACCTGATTTAAACATTACCTGAATTTGGATTTTCAGATACTGGCTTTGGCAGTACTAGTGGAGGGGCATTTGGAACATCTGCATTTGGTTCTAGCAACAATACTGGAGGCCTGTTTGGAAATTCACAGACCAAACCAGGTAGGGGCTTTATTTGGAATAGAATTGATTTATTCATAGCTGATACATAACTTTACATAGTGGCTCTATGTGAAGTCTGTTTAACTGTTTTTTAACCCCTCTCCATCTCCCAGGAGGATTATTTGGCACGAGTTCCTTTAGCCAGCCAGCTACCTCCACAAGCACCGGCTTTGGGTTTGGCACATCAACAGGAACATCGAATAGCTTGTTTGGAACTGCAAGCACAGGGACCAGTCTTTTCTCATCCCAAAACAATGCTTTTGCACAAAATAAACCAACTGGCTTTGGTAGTAAGTAGGGCATCATTGGACATCTGCATCTAACAATTTGATTTGACTTTTGAATATGTTTTCTTTTTCCCTGTGTTCACACCCCGCCTACACACACTTTTTCTCCCTCCAGATGACAGAATTTCAAGAAAACTTCAAAATGTACTAACAGCTTAATAGATTGGAAAGGAGGGGGAAGAGATGTGCATCTCACAAGAATGGAAATCGGAGAAGCATTAGTATTTTAGGAATATGCAGAGGTAGAGGCACGATACAGAATGACCAGAGATAAGATGAAAAGCCAGATCAGAGTAGTGTCATCAGTATTAAGACAGGAGAATTTCCAGGAGTCATGTATGTAGTCAACAGTATTGAATGGCATGGGCACCGTCTTATCTTCATTTCACATTTGGTATGAAGAGACTGAAGCAGCAGTGACAAATATTGGTCACGACATGGTTATTCCTCCATTTCTTGCCCATGGCAGATATTTTTAACTGATAACCTTCTTTCTTTAGTCTAAATGTGGGCTGGGGATGCTTCTCTACACAGTGCTTTAGTTGAACAGATGTATTTAGTGAGTTGATGCCATTCCCAGCACAAGCAAATGGCAGAATGTTTAAGTTACCAAGCTATCAGTTGTTTACAAAGGAAAAGCTTTTGTAGGGATGTTGAAATTTTTAACCATAACAGTATAAAATGCAATCTAAAGTGCTAATTCAAAAAAGGTGTACCTATTTACTTTAAACTATATATTAGAACATAATTTTAAAAAAAGAAATAGTTCGCCAGTGAAAATCACATTCTTTTTAATTTGGTAATTAGGATGTCACATAATATTAAATAGTATTGGCAGAAGACTTCATTGCCTGCTGACATTTCTGGGTCTATATAACTTATTTAGAAATAGTATCATATTTTGAAAAATACATTCCTTAGATAACAGTTAAATTCACTTTTATGTAATTTTAAAAGTCAGCTTTTTGGAAAATGAAACTAGTTTTTTTGTTTTTTTAATAAAATGATCAGCATGCCTACTAATTTTTCTAAATTATTTTTCTGTGTGAAATTTTGCATTAACCTGTGCTTGGTCGCCATACTAGGACCATTTGTGTTTAAGTCTGTTGTGATAAGATGTTTTCCGAAGTACAAGCTCATTTAGCATTAGTCTTGCTAAGAAAGGAGGAAAGAGATAAAATTTATGATGAAACAAAATACTGTTTCTTTTAACTTGTCTTCCAACTATGTACTAAAGGGCTTCATAGAAACTTAGTGGCTGTAGAATTTAGATTTTGTGTCACTTTGAAGTTGTGAGCCTAGAATTGTGTGTGTGTGTGTGTGTGTGTGTGTGTGTGTGTGTGTATGAAATACCTGTTCGAAGATACTTAGTAGTGGAAAAGATAAATTTGAAAGAGAAAATTTGAGGTTGTGAAAGTACTGCTGCTCTAGTGCCACAGCTCAGTTCCATCTTATGTTCTTTACTGTTACCGTCTAATTTTTCTTTCTAATTTATAGATTTTGGAACAAGTACTAGCAGTGGGGGACTTTTTGGAACTACAAATACCACCTCTAATCCTTTTGGTAGCACATCTGGCTCCCTTTTTGGGCCCAGTAGTTTTACAGCTGCTCCTACTGGGACTACTATTAAATTTAATGTAAGTATTTTCTTCCAATGTTTGTGGAACTTCTCTCCCACTTGTATATTTATTTGCAGGGTGAATCATAAAATTTCTCCTTGTTTCAGTTATGCACAGCTTAGCCTCATTTTTCCTGAAAGATGTGTTAAGAACAAAATCTCTAATTGTATAGAAGAAAGGAAAAGTCTTATCCAGATTATAATGCATATTTGAATTATACTCAACCCAGTCAACTTCGTATTCACAATATTGATTGTAATAGCTTGTATAAGGTTGAACTTGTACTGTGTGCACAATTTGGCCTTTGAATGGTCAACCATTTTTTACAGAAATAAGGAATATGGGGGCAAACTATAGGAAAATAAGGCCTCTTTAAGGAGATAAATGGAATAACTCATTAATATTGAACTTTTGTTGATGAAATGACAAAATGGGGCAATAGAATTTTGTTTTTTCTTGGGGCTTTTTGAGAAGAGTTGGGTAGAGGATTAGAGTGGAGGCTGTTTAAAAAATATATAGAATACCACTTGATCTAAGATACACCTGATGTAATTGGTTGGGAGAGACTTAGGATAGGCTGGCGACAGTTAGCCTAATGGCAAAAATAGGGCTTGAGAAAACTTCTAGTTAAAACTTGAGAAATTGAAGAAAAAAACTAGAGAAAGTGAAGAAAACTTTCTCAAGTGAAGAAAGCTTCAGAAAGTGAAGAATTTTTCAGGCAAGGTGGTAAATTCATAATACTGAATTTAGAATTTGGAATTTAAAATAAAATTAAACAATAGTGAAAAATATTATGTGTTTCTTAGAAAGTACAATAATTGAGAAAACTGATATAAGTAGGAATCTTTAGTTTCTTATTGTGCTTTTTTTCCTCTTAAAAGTTGTAGGGGAAGAAACCAGGCTTCCATTATTTCTTAAATGTAACAACAGTTACTAATCTGACACTTTAGAGCAGAAAAAGAGGTTTAAATGTATATATTAGGCAAAATGGATAAAGCCTGTTTTATATATAATATTAAGTATATTTTGGTAGATAATTAGATAGCTTGGTTATGGGATTAATCTTTGGGTTTGTCATGACTATTACTGACTTATTAAACATAAAATCTTGATGTAGGAAGAGAACAAAATACAGTGTAATTAATGAAGCACCCTTGAAACCATCTTGAATAGTAAAAGACCTAGTGGACTAGTTAGAGAGTTCAGTGGTTGCAGAACTGTGTTTGTGAGAGTAAGGATATAAAGCTTGGATTTACACATTTAATTTAGACTTTAAAATTTACCTTTATGTTCCTTTGCAGCCTCTAACTGGTACCGATACTATGGTTAAAGCTGGAGTTAGTACTAACATCAGTACCAAGCACCAGTGTATTACTGCTATGAAAGAATATGAAAGCAAGTCACTAGAGGTCAGTAAAATGCAATACAGAATATCAGTGTAACCTTTGATTGTATTGGAAAGCAGCTTTTGAAAATGTTTTTGTTATTTTTAGGACCATGTGGTTCACATTGTGTTTATGTAAAAGAAAACAACTAATGATCAAATTATTTTTAAGTTAACGTAGTATTTATAGGTGTGTATTGTTTTAGGCAGGAATAATATTCAGATTGTACCAGCGTAATTCTAATAGTGTATTTGGATTGGATGTCGCCCACACTGCATTGTGTGCACTTAAACTTAACATGTGTTTTTTTAAAAACTTATGCAAAGTTGTAAGTATACAACATAGTAAGTTTTCATTAAGTAAACACACTCATGTAACCAGGATCTAAAGGCACAGCATTATCAGCATCCCTAATGTCCTCACCCCCCAGTCAGAACCCGCCCCTTCCAAAGGTAACCACTATCCTGGATACCCATGTTTTGCCTATTTGTACATACAGATGGAATCTTGCATTATGTATTCTTTTCTTTTTTTTTTTTTTTTAAGAAACGTATATTTTATTTTTTTAAGATTTTATTTATTTTCGGAGAGGAGAAGGGAAGGGGAAAGAGAGGTAGAGAAACATCATTTGGTTGCCTCTTGTTTGCCCCTAAATGGGGACCTGGCCCACAACCCAGGCATATGGCCTGACAGGGAATCAAATTGGCAACCTTTTGGTTCACAGGCCGGTGTTCAGTACACTGAGCCGTATCAGCCAGGGCACATTATGTATTCTTAAGTCTGTTTTTCATCATTGAGATCATCCATGTAGTGTGTTTACTTGCATTGCTGTGTAAGTACTTCTTTGTACATTTTGATTGTCACCCCTAATTGTAGCTGTTGCTTCTTCCTATATTATTGGAGAGTGCAGAAACACCCTGGCTTGTGAGACAAAACTATTAAACTCTATCTCTTCTTTCCTTAAATTTTCTGAACTCTCTAGAATCCTGTCTTTTAATCAGCTAATTTTTATATTCGGAGTGAGAGTAGACGAGATCATTATACTAAATAATAAAGAGCATTGTACCAAAGGGAAGTATTATCCTCAGCTCTTTCCCCAGCTTCCTGCATCATTTTAATAAACCCATCTCACTTCTGTCAGCCATTACCGTTCTGTGGCCTATTTGCAAAGTAGATGCACTGAATAAAGTCTGACAGACATTCTAGGGTCTTTTTATTGAACGGGAAGCACTATTAAATACAATTCATGTGTACTGTGCTTCCTCTTGGCACATTTAATTCGCTGAGTTCATACAAGCAGGTGAAAACATTATTAAATGGAACAGATGGGACAAAAACAAGGAGAACCTTTTAGCAAAGAGGGCATGCTAACTAGTGGTTAGTAAGCTGTTGACTTTGGAAAAAAGTTAAAAGAAAAAAGCAGGGAAAAAGAAATTGTGTATTTCATGAATGAACATGTACAGTTTACCACTGGGAGGAGATGACTTTTTGTCAGGTGAATCTGCAAGTGATTCTTACTGATGTTGATATTCATTGTCTGTAGCTTTATGTCCCAGCCTTATATTTAGAGCTAATGCCAGTTGCACGTCTAGTTTTGAGTGCAGTAAAATAGATTCAGCAAATCACAGTGTTTTTCATCCTTTTCCAGTATTGTAGCAACAATATATATCAACTTTTCCTGAATATTGCCTTTTTACTGGAATATGTTGTATGTTGACTAAAATCAGCTAGTAAAAAATATTGTTTATAAAAGAAAATTAAAATTGATAGATATGTCTATTTGCCTGTAGTGTTACAGTCTTTATGGTATGTATTTTAATGTCCACTATAAACTATTGAAAATGGTTTTTTATAATGATATTAAGTTAATGTTATTTGTAGTTTTTTGTTTTGCAGTAACGGTCCTTGTGTGATTACTTATGAGAACTTGAATACTAAATTGAAATATTCAGTCTCAAAATAAATTTTTTTGGCTGAATAGTAAGATTGGAAATATGTTTTCCCTCACTCTAGGAACTTCGTTTAGAGGATTATCAGGCTAACAGGAAAGGCCCACAGAACCAGGTGGGAGCGGGTACCACAACTGGACTGTTTGGGTCTTCTCCGGCCACCTCCAGTGCAACAGGACTCTTCAGCTCCTCTACCACTAATTCGGGCTTTGCATATGGTCAGAACAAAACAGGCTTTGGAACTAGTAAGTACTTGATATCATATTGGGCCATATTGAGGAGGGACAGGCACCTAAACTATAATTGTCATTTTGTTGTAAGTGCTATGGAAAAAATAATTCAGGGATGCTGGAGGAATAAGGAGTGCCTACTATGTATGCAGGGGTGGAGGAACATACAGTTTTAAATGAAGGTGGTTAATAAGGGCTTTATTGATAAGATAACATTTGAGCAGTGATCTATTTGAAGAAGGTGAAGGATATAGTTGTGCAGATTTCTGGGGAGGGAAACCTAGCAAGAGGAAACTGTAAATCTAAAGATCCTAAGTTTTTGCCAAGGAGTAGAGGACAAGGGGAAGTACTAGGGAATATAAGAACTATATGTTGTAGGACTTGTGGACCACTGTCAAGATTTGAATTGAGTCAGGAAGCTATTAAAGGGATTAGAAAGAGAAGTCATGAAATTATGAGTTGAAGGATTATTCTGAAGCCTGCTATTTTAAGAGTAGATTATAAGGCAACATGAGTGGAAACAGATCAATTAGAAACCTGTTGTTCTGTCTGCATGAGAGATGATGTGGCTTGAATGAGAATGGTGCTATGGAGATAGTAAAAATGTCAGATTGTGGACCCAGTTTGAATATAGAATTGAGGGGATTTGCTGATGGATTGATTTGATGTGGGATGTGAAAGAGGGAAGTCTAGAATGACTACTATTGCTTTATAAATATACTACTTTTGCAAAGGTTAATATATATATGAGATACAAAGTTCATGAAATACCAAAAAAAAAAAAAAAAAAAAATGGTGTGTAACCAAAGGTCTCTTCTTTCCCTCCCCAGCTACCAAGTTGGCCTCTGGAGAAATAAACAGAAGTTAGATTTTTTTCATAGCTTTCTAGAGGGATCTACACACGCACACTCACACAAATACACAAACACATTTAAGTGACATTTAACATTTCCTTCGATATTGGTATTCTGTGATTTAGTTTAGCCATATTCTTTAAGTACTTTGCATTACACCCTATGCTGAATATATTGATATAAAGAGAAAGCCTTTATTCTCAAGAAAAACTTAGTCTAACTAGGTTAAAATACAAACATAGACTTTGAGTGTAGCATGGTATCTTTTAAAATAGAAAAAAGCGGTGGGCTCAAGAAGGAAGGTTGCTTAGCCCAGCGAGGGTTCTTGCGATCAGAGTGTTATTGTAAGAATTAAAGTCTGAAGCAAATCTGGAATTAGATGAAAGAGAATGGGAATTGAAACAGTTATCCAGTTTGAGTAGGGTAATTGAGATATGTAATTAATATCATAAGACTAATGTTTAGTAACTAGATAATGTGAGGTTTAATGTTTTGTTTTGTTTTGTTCTCCACTTATTTTTTCTTTCCTTTATTTCTATTTCCTGAAAGGTACGACTGGATTTGGAACCAATCCAGGTGGTCTCTTTGGCCAACAGAATCAGCAAACTACCAGCCTCTTCAGCAAACCATTTGCCCAGGCCACAACCACCCAGAACACTGGCTTTTCCTTTGGCAATACCAGCACACTAGGACAGCCAAGCACCAACACCATGGTAAGGAAACAGGCCCATAATTAACTCTATGTCTTATTTATCAAGCTAATGAGGCTTCTAATCATGTCAAACCAGCAAGTTCTACCTGTACTGCATTTCTTAAGAATTGATAGAGTAAAGGGGAGAGAGCAAAATCTTTGAATAATTAAAGCCTAAATTCCAGTTTAGGTCCTACTCTGTACTCATTGAAAGGCTGTTGAGCAAGTCACTTATCTTTTCTGAGCATATTTTCTTATCACTAAGAGCTGCTTAGTGTGCCACAGTTTGCCATCCTGAAGCTATACCTTAGGACACTGACTCCAGTCATTCTATAGATTGTAGAAGAAAATATGTATAAATTACTAGCTGTATTTCAAAATATTCTTTTAGCTGGTTCCTTAAGCAGACTCAAGCAAAGAAGTTTAGTTGATTAAAATAAAGGGAGAACTAAACCTCAGAGCCATATTGGATAATTGCTACTTCTATGCAGAAAGTGAAAGAGAAAGTCTTTACATCATTACCAGTTTATTTCTAGGGACTCTTTTAGGGAAGTATAAAATTAAAGTTAATTTGAGGTAGCAATTTTTTTTTTAACTGGAATTCTTGGAATTTACTTGGTCTCTCTCTAATTTTAGTTGTGTTCAGAGTTTTATTAGAGATACTCTGCCTGATTAAAAAACAAATACAACTAGGCCACAAAATCATCAAAATACTAGCAAACCAAATTCAGTAACACATAAAGATTATACACCATGACCAAGTGGGATTTATCTCAGGAAAGTTGACTCAGCATATGACAGTGTAATAAGCCATAGAGAATAAAGAACAAAAACCACACAACACCTCAGTAGGTACAGAAAAAGTATTTGACACACTTTCATAATATAAACAATCAACAAAGAATAAAAGGGAATCCAGAATGGCCAGAACAGTCTTTAAAAAGAAGAAAGTTAGAAGACTTAAACTTCTTAATTTTAAAACATACTGTAAAGCAATAGTAATCAAGACTGTGTGGTACAGGCATAAGGTTATACACATAAATCAGTGGAATAGAACTGAGAGTCCAGAAATAAACCTTCACATTTGATTTTCAAAAGTACCAAAATAGCCCTGGCTGGTGTGGCTCAAGTGGATCGAGCACTGGACTGCGAAGCAAAGGGTCACCTGTTTGCTTCCCAGTCAGGGCACATGACTTGGTTGCTGGCCAGGTCTCCAATAGGGGGTGCGTGAGAGACAGCCATACATTGATATTTCTCTCCTTCTCTCCCTTCCTTCCCCTCTCTCTAAAAATAAATAATTTTTTTTTAAAGAGTACCAAAATAATTCAATGAGGAAAAATAATCTTTTCAACAAATAGTGTTGGGACAACTGATTTTCCCTGTGCAAAAGAATGAGATTGGACTTTATTCACACCATTGTGGTAACTATAAAAATTAACTCAAATAGATCAAATACTTAAATATGAGCGTTAAAATATAAAACTCTTAGAAGAAAACGAGTTAGGTAGTGGTTTATTAGCTATGATGCCAAAAGCAAAAGCAGCAAAAGGAAAAATTGATTGGGCTTTATCGAAATGAAAAACTTGTGGGCACTGGTCAGTGTGGCTCAGTTAGTGGGAACATTCTGCCATAGACCAAAGAGTCAAGGGTTCAATTCCCAGTCAAGGCACAAGCCTGGGTTGCAGATTAGGTCCTGATCAGGGCGCGTACAAGAGGTGACAGATCGATATTTCTCTCTCATGTTAATGTTTCTCACATCCGTTGTTCTCTCCCTCTCTCCTCCTCCTCCCTTCCCCTCTCTCTAAAATCAATGAGCATGTCCTCTGGTGAGGGTAAAAAAAATAAAAAAAAATAACTTGTGGATTAAAGGTATACCATAACGAAAGCAAAAAGAATACCTGCAGATGGGAGAAAATATTTGCAAGTCATATATCTTATAAAAGACTTATATCCAGAATGTATAAAGAACATATAAAGAATGCTTTTAATTCAATAACTCAATAACCTATTAAAAAATGGCCAAAGTGAAAAAATTGGGCTAAAGACTTGATTAGATTATTTCTCCAAAGAAGATAAACAGTTAATAAGCACATGAAAAGATAACATCAGTAGTCATCAAGGAATCGCCTATGGAAACCACAATGAATTACCACTTCAAATCCACTGGAAAGGCTATAAACAAAAAGGCAATAATAAGTGTTCTCAAGAATTTGGAGAAATTGGAACCCTCATATATGTAACCACTTTGGAAAACAGTTTGGTGCTTTCCTCAGAATTTTAAACAGGATTACCATATATACCACAAATAAATACCAAGTTGTACACCTTAGTTTTTTCCCTAGAGAAATGAGAACAAAACTTGTACACAAACCTCTGTCATAATAGCCAAAAAATGGAAACAACCCAAATGTCCATCCATCAGTGCTTAATGGAAAAACAAATGTGATACACATAAAGTAGACTGTTACTTAGCCATAAAATGGGATGAAGCACTCTGATACATGCTCCAAATGGACCTTTAAACATGATAAGCAAGAGAAGCCATTTAATAAACACCACATTTTACATGGTTCTATTACATGAAATGTTCAGAATGGACAAATCCATGGAAACAGAAAATAAATTAGTTGTTGTTTACCTAGGAATGGGGAGTGACTGCCAGGATTTCTTTTTATAGTTATAAAAATGTTCTAAATTTAGAGAGTAAGGATGGTTGTGCAACTGTGAACATACTAAGGTTTGATTAGTTCCACAGTGTCTGCTACCAGAGCAGAAGGAACATCGTGCTGCAGTTGCTAGTGATGCTGGAAGGACTGTGTGAGGTGCCAAGGTCCTCCTTGAGGGAGACTGATGTGTCATTGTCCTATGTACAGTGTTTCTTGTATCTTCAATAAATGTGTCTTTTCCACATTACATGGCTGGATACTTCCTGGACATACCTAATACAAAAAACAATTGAATAGTCCACTTTAAATGAGTAATAATTTACTTTTTATTATATTTTTTCTATTATCATTTATCCTACTTTTACCCTCTTCCACCTCAACCTACCCCCCTAACGAAACTGTTTAAGAACACTACTTCGAATTCTCAGTTCAGCAGTAGTCCATTAGTGCCATGTATTTCTTTTGTTAACTAACACATAAGTAAAATATCTTCTTAAAGACTGGATGATATGAACTTCGCTTATTTGAAATCTGGTCCTGACACTCAGTTGCTGTAACATTGGGCACTTTTTTTTTCTTTTTTAATTCTCACCTGAGAATATGTTTATTGATTTGAGAGAAAGAGACATCAATGTGAGAGAGGATCAGTTGCTTTCCATATGTGTGCCCCAGCCAAGGACCAAACCCTCGACCTGGGTACATGCCCTGACTGGGATTTGAACCCACAACCTTTTTTTTTTTTTGGTATGCCAGACAATACTCCAACCAGCAGAGCACCCAGCTAGGACATTGGCAGATTTTTAACTACTCTGAGCTTTATTTTCTTCTGGAAAATGGCCCTGCTTTTTAGGATTGTGAAGAAAAATGCTCTTTGTAAAATACTAAGCATAGTAACTGTCGCATAAACTTTAAAAAATGGCAAGTATTATTAATCTACGGCTCTTAAAGAAAACTGACTACTGTAGGACACCTTTTAATCGAGATTACCTTTTGCAGGGTTTATTTGGAGTGACCCAAGCTTCACAGCCTGGAGGTCTTTTTGGGACAGCTACAAACACCAGCACCGGGACAGCATTTGGAACAGGAACAAGTCTCTTTGGGCAGACCAATACTGCATTTGGTACTGTTGGTTCGGTAGGTATTTACATTTGATTATAATATACTAAAGGAATTTCTAAGAAAGATTTGACTCTCATTTAAGTATTTTATTGAGTATAATGTATCATTTGATACTGATAGTAACTAAAAATTATTTGATGCAAATTAAAATAACTAGGTAATTTCCATAAATTTTTTAACCCTGTCTAACCTGTTTTGAGTGACAAGTTGATAAGATATTTAAGAATTACATATTTTTGGTGTTGATCAAGTTGCTAAAATTGTTGGCATTTTCACAGTTCTCATACTGTTGGAGGCCTAACTGAATTATTTTCCTTAAGTCATTTAAGTAAAAAAATTACCACACATCATTCTCCTGATTCATATGATTGGGGATATTTAAAAATTCTCAGGTAAGACATGGCTCAGTGTCTGTACAAGAGGGAAAGGTTTAAAATCATGGAATGTACTTGACCTAAAAACAATAGTAAATTCTATGTTACCACTTAAACTGTATGAGAATTAGTATGAAGCACTCAATCTGTACTATGTACCCATTTTAAGTTTTGAACATGGTGTTCTGTTTTTGTGGAGATTGAAATCTGTTACTTCTTAACTTTGTGTAACTATTTGAGGTGAAAAATTGAGAAAATTATATAATGCCTCCAAAAGTTATTTTTAAATAACCTTATTGGGATATAATCCACATGCCATACAATTAACCCTGTTAAAATTTACAATTCATTGGCTTTTATTACATTTACAGAGTGTGCAAGTGTCGCAATAGTTAATTTTAGAACACATTTATCACCCTAAAAAGAAACCTCATACTCATCACTTCCCATTACCCCCAGTTACCTCAGGCCTACTTTCTGGCTATGGATTTACCTATTTTGGACATTTCATATAATGAAATCATATAATGTGTGGTTTGTGTGACTGATTTCTTTCACTTAACATAATGTTTTGAAGGTTCATGTTATAGTGTGTTTAAATTTGTTATTGTAATTGTTTCTACTGACTATTTAAATACATGATACACATCTGTTACCAGGTTAAAAACAATATTTGGTTCCCTTGTTATTTTTTTTCCTCAACTCACTGATGTACTGTGTTTGCTGAGGGGGTTCCATTAACCTCTCACGTCTAGGAGCATTCTGTATTCATAAAGTTAACCTTGCTCAGATTAGTTTATTTTTCTGCTAGTCTTTATTCATCCTCTTCCTGTCATTTTATAAAAATAATGCCATCTCTTGTTTACTTCACATCCAGTCTCACTCAAGGGAACCTCTGTTTACTGTTTGGAATGTATCTTTATACTAAAAATTTTCTTGTATTCCGTTCTTTTTAGACCCTGTTTGGCAATAACAAGCTTACTACATTTGGAACCAGCACAACCAGTGCTCCTTCGTTTGGTACAACCAGTGGCGGGCTCTTTGGTAACAAACCAACCCTGACTTTAGGAACCAATACAAACACTTCCAATTTTGGTACATATAATAAGCAGGTTTGGCTCTCTTAAAGTTATACTGACTATACCACACATCATTCTCCTGATTCATATGATTGGGGATATTTAAAAATTCTCAGGTAAGACATGGCTCAGTGTCTGTACAAGAGGGAAAGGTTTAAAATCATGGACATGGGTTGAGATACGTAGAAGAGATATTAAATTTCCTTTCCTCATTCATATTCTTTTGAACTCCCTGCTTTGGATAAAACGGGCCATTCGGCATATGCAGCAGTGCTTTGCAGAAAAGTTGGTTCTCTAATGGAGATAGATTTTTTTTCAAAATAAGGAAACACTGGCTTTGAATTACTTCACCAGTAGTTAAGAAACTAACAATGAAACATACGTGGTTGAGATAACATTCTGTTAGGACAGGTTTCAAACAGGGAAGTAGTGCACAGGTAAGATTTCATGATTCTTTTTTTAAAATGTTTTTTGTTATTGTTTTGTTTTTGTTGTTTTTTGAGATTTCATCATTCTTCCTGAAAGTTGAGACCTTTTTGATTTTGCAGATTATTTGGTTTTCTTATAGTTGGCAAAAGCTTCATTTTTGAGTACCTGTTGAGAAACATAGATAAGATTGAACAGTAATTGACAAAACAAAGCCCTAAACTAACTCTGGAAAAATAAAAACCCATTTAATGGAAATATTATATTATGCTTTCCATAACTACCCAATTAAGTTCAAACAAATTCAACATTAACTGTGTTAAATTAGATATGGAAAGTTCATTTAATCACCAAATGAAGTAGTGGTTTAAATATTTGTTAAGGATTTCAGATACATCATCAGGTACTGAATAGCTAGTGGGAAATGAGTGTAAAGACATGGTTATTTGCCATAGGTCAGTAGTCACACAGATTTTCAGTGAGGATCTTTTAATGTACAAGAGAAAGATACTACCTTAAGCATCCACTGGAAGGTTATATGTTTCCGCAGAAATGTGAACTATGTGAAGGAGATAGATAGGTCCTTGTCTGGTACCAGTTCCTAAATTTATGTATTCCGTTCGATTTCTATAACTCCTTTTTTGTTGTGTTGCTTGATCACTCCTATAATTATTTGTGGTTGTACTCGATGAAAGAAAGGTTCTGAAGCAGTAGACTTGTTTAGCATGGACATTATTTTGTGTGGTTTTTTGTTTATTGAAGAAAAGGTTTGTTTTTTTTAATTTATATTTAGAGAGAAGGGAAGCTAGGGAGAAAGAAAGGGAGAGAAATATTGATGTGCTAGAGAAACACCAATCAATCGCCTCTTGCCCATCCTGGGGCCCTGGACCACAATCCAAGCACGTGCCATGCCAGGGAACTGAACCAGTGACCTTTCTGTTTGTGAGAGGACTCCCAATCCTCTGAGGCACACTAGTCAGGGCTATGTAGTTGTTTTTGTGTACAAAATTAATATGGGAAAGATACTGGGTTGGCCAAATAGTTCGTTTGGTAGCATTTAGTGTTCTTTAACTTCATTAGAAATGTTTGTTAGATTGTATTGTGACAGTTTTCATATCAGTGTGCATTTTTCTTTTTTTTCTTTCTTTTTTTTTTCCTTAGAGTGGGAGGGAGAAAGAGAAGAGAGGAACGTCAATGCCTGGTTGCCCTTCTCACACCCCCAGCTGGGGACTGGCCTGCAATCCAGGCATGTTTCCCAGCTGGGCATCAAACCAGCAACCCTTTGACTCACAGGCTGGCACTCAATCCACTGAGCCACACCAGCCAGGGCTCAGTATGCATTTAAAAAAAAAAGAAAACATCACCCTGGCTGGTATGGCTCAGTGGATTGAGTGCTGTCCTGCGAACTTAAAGGTCACCAGTTCAGTTCCCAGTTAGGGCACATGCCTGGGTTGTGGGCCAGGTCTCCAGTTGAGGGTGTGTATGAGAGGCAACCAGTTGGTGTTCCCCTCACACATTGATGTTTCTTGCCCTTTCTTTCTCTCTCCCTTCTGCGCTCTCTAAAAATAAATAAAAACATTTAAAAAAATAAACATCTAAATTGCTGAATTTTTATGTAACCATTTTATTATTGAAGATGGAAGAAAATATGCAACATTTTCAGCATATTATGCTTTATTATTTCAAGAAAGGTAACACAACTGAAACACAAACAAAAGATTTGTGGAGTGTATGGAGTAGGTGCTGTGACTGATCAAATGTGTCAAAAATGGTTTGCGAAGTTCTGTGCTGAAGATTTGTCAGTGGATGAAGCTCAGTGGTTGGGTAAACCAGTTGGAGTTGATAGTGATCAAACTGAGACATTGAGAACAGTCAATGTTTTACCACGCAGGAGAGAGCTGACAAACTCAGAATATCCAAATCAATGAAGTTATTGGTGAAAATGAAAAATGTCTTTTATTTTATGGAAAACTGAAATACTTAAGCATTAAACCAATGTTTTTCAACCTTTTGTTTAAAGTAGTGTTATTCTTTCTTCCCCAAGGAGCCATTGTAGATTTTTTTTTGTACTCACCTTCTCATTCCATGAGATTTTAATAGTATATGTATACTGTGTATCTGTTTATGTACCCTATTAGGGAGGACCATGAACTATTGTATGATTTTGTTGTTAGACCACCCTCATTCCCACCCCCCAAGAATCAGTTTTTGCTTCTTTTGAAAATGCATGTGGTATTTTTGGTTTTTGGTGTGGGGTGGTTTTTTGTTTGTTTGTTTTTTAAGCTGACTTCATGTTCAGAATTAAATGTTACTTCTAAATTAGTTCTTGTGTAGGCTATACTTGATAAAATATGCTGGACTCCTGAATTATGTTTGCTGTTATTCCATGATTGCAGATTTCTGATTTGTTTGGAGATTTTTTTTGTTGTCTGTATGAACTCATATTTAGTGGTTTGAAAATGAACGGTCTCATCACTCTCTGATACAGCTCACTAGCTCACATGCTGAATTTGAAATGTCCTTAATATTTTTTTTTTTCAAAATCACTGTTGACCTAGTGTCTGGTAATTAGTAGGTGTCCACTAAAAGCTTGTTAAATGAATTAAAGAATGAATAAATGGGGCCCTAAGAGGAAGGATCCCCCGTAATTACAAGTTAGATGGGGGTTACAGGGTGGCAAGTTATTTTATATTCTTGGATGAACTTATTTCATTATTACCTTTGAGAGATCCAGATCCAAGTAAAGTTGTCTTTGATGTTCCTATTTTCTTGGGAAGCTGTCAACTTTGATTTTGTGGGCAGAGATACTCTTCTGATTGAGAAATAAGTCATATAACAAGTCTAGAAATGGAATAAGGTCATACCAGGATTTGGGGGCATCATTATGTCATTCTTAGGTGTTATGCAGTATGGGATTGTGTTTCATTCTGGTAGTGATTAATCCACAGTGTTGAAGGTTGGAATACCTGCTACAATTAATTGGTGTTGCCAGACCCCTCAGTCCTTCTTTAGAGCAGCAGTCCCCAACCTTTTTGGCACCAGGGAACAGTTTCCTGGAAGACAGTTTTTCCACTGCATGGGGTTGGTGGGGTTTATATATACAAATAGTTAAGCTATTTGTATATATAAACATCTTTTTTTAAGCTGGTTGTAAGTTTTAAAAGATTTTGTTTATTTTTTAAAGATTTTATTTATTTATTTATTTTGTTGGGGGCGGGGAGAAACATCGATTGGTTGCCTCTTGCACACCCCCATTTGGAGACCTGGCCTGCAACCCAGGCATGTGTCCTGACTGGGAACCGAACCAGCTACCTTTTGGGTCACAGGGCAACACCCAACTTACTGAGCTTTAAGCTGATTTTTAAAAAATTGATTTGAGAGAAAGAGAGAGAGAGATCAATTTGTTGTTCTTCTTATTTTTGCTTTCATTGGATACTTCTCATATGTGCCCTGACCAGCAACCAAACCTACAACCTTGGCTCTTAATCAGCTGAGCTACCTGGCCATGGCTAAGCTGATTATTTTTGGAGTGTAATTATGAGTTTCAAATGTACAACGTAGTGATTCAGTATTTATATATATGATCATCACAGTAAGTCCAACTAATATCTGTCACCACATATAGTTAAAAAATTCCCTTTTCTTATGATTAGACCCTTTATGATTTACTCTCAACTTTCAAACTTTCAACCTACTGAAATTTACAACTTTCAAATATGCAGTACAATATTAACTATAGTCACCGTGCTGTATATATATCCATGACTTATTCTATAACCAGAAGTTTGTACCTTTTAACCCCCCCTTAATCTGTTTCACCTATCCCCTCATCCCCTGCCTCTAACAACCTCTGATCTGTTCTCTGTGTCTATGAGCTCATTTTTTAAAACATTTTATTTATTTATTTTTAGAGAGAGGGAAGGGAGAGAGAAAGAAAGGGAGAGAAACATCGATGTGTGGTTGCCTCTTTTGTGCCCCCTGCTGGGGACCTGGCCCACAACCCAGGCATGTGCCCTGACTGGGAGTTGAAATAGCAACCCTTTGGTTTGCAGGCCAGCCCCCAACCACTGAGCCACACCAGCCGGGGCATGTTGTTGCTTTGTCTTTTGTTTTTGTTTGTTTATTTTTATTTTTAATTGGTTTTTAGAGAGGAAGGGAGACATTGATTTTTGTTTCATTTATTTAAGCATTCATTGATGCTTTTTTTTTTTTCTTTTTAAATCCTCACCCGAGGATATGTATATTGATTTTAGAAAGAGAGGAAGAGAGAAACATCAATTGGTTGCCTCCCGTACACACTCCAACTGGGGATTGAACTTGCAACCTGGGTATGTGCCCTGACCTGGGATCAAACCCGCAACCCTTTAGGTGTGCAGGACGATGCTCTAACCAACTGAGCCACCCAGCCCAGGCCATTGGTTGATTCTTATATGTACCCTGACTGAGGATTGAACCTGTAACCTTAGTGTATTAGGATGACTCTGACTTAGTTACCTGAGCAGAGCTTATTTTTGTTTTGTTTTTTTAGATTCCACATATAAGTGAGATCCTATGGTATTTGTATTTTTCCAACTTATTTTACTTAGTGTAATGCCCTCAAATTTTATCATGTTGCTGAAGGCCAGGTTTCATTGTATTTTTATGTCTGAATAATATTCCATTACATATACACATACCACTTTTTCTTTCTTTTTTTAAAAAAAGATTTTATTTTTATTTATTTTTAGAGAGAGGATAAGGGAGGGAGAAAGGGAGAGAAACAATGATGTGCAAGAGAAATACCAATCAGCTGCTTCCGGCGTGCCCCCAACCTGAGGCCTGGCCTGCAACCCACCTGTGTGCCCCCACTGAGGATTTCACCGGATACCCTTCGCTTTGCAGGACCACACCCAACCCATTGAGTCACACCAATCAGGGTCACACCACATTTTCTTTATCCATTAATCCATCGATGGACAATTAGGTTGTTTCCATATCCTAGCTATTAGTTAATAATGAAAATAGGGGTGTATATATTTTTTTGTTAGTTTTTGGGGTTTTTTTTAATAAGTAATCAGAAGTGTAATGGCCAGGGTGTATGGCACTTCTATTTTTAATGTTTTGAGGAACGTTGATACTGATTTCCATAGTGGCTACACCATGCATTTTCACCAACGGCACACAGGGTTCCCTTTCTTCCACAGCCTCGCCAACACTTGCTTGTCTTTTTTTTTTAAGATTTTATTTATTTATTTTTAGAGAGGGGAAAGGGAGTGAGAAAAATGTTGACATGAGAGAGAAACGTTGATTGGTTGCCTCCCATATGTGCCCTGTCTAGGGACCAAATCTGCAACCCAGGCACGTGGCCTGACCTGGCATCTAACTGGCAACCTTTTGTTTTGCAGGACAGTGCCCAACTCAGCCACACTGGTCAGGGTTGTTTCTTGTCTTTTTGATGATGGCCATTCTAACAGGCATGAAGTGATAATTCATGTGGTTTTTATTCACATTTCCCTCATGAGTAGTGACGTTGAGCACCTTTTTGAGTACCTGTTGGCCATCTGTATATCTTTGGAATTATGTCTCTTCAGGTCTCTGCCCATTTTTTTTTTTTTTTAAAGATTTTATCTATCTATTTTTAGAGAGAGGGGAACAAAGAAGGAGAGGGAGAGACATCAATGTGTGAGAGAAACAGTGATCAGTTGCCCTCCCCATTGCCCCTAGGGGACTGGGCCTGCAACCCAGGCATATGCCCCAGTGGGGAATTGAACCAGCGACCTTTCGCTTTGCAGGACATTGCCCAACCCACTGAGCCAGTCTGTTCAGGGCTCTGCCCATTTTTTTAATCAGATTATTTTTTTTTTTTGCTGTTGAGTTGACTGTTCTATATATCTATATCTATATCTATATGAATGATATTAACCTTTTCTTATATGTATGATTTTTAAACATTTTCTCCCTTTCCATAGGTTTCCTTTTCATTTTATTAATGGTTTCCTTTGCTGTATAGACGCTTTTTAGTTTGGTGTAGTCCCACTTGATTATTTTTGCTTTTTGTGTCAGATGCAAAAAATCAACAACAAGGCAGATGTCAGGGAAATTACCACTTATGTGTTCCTAAAGAATTAGCTGCTTTCAGACCTTATATATAAGTCTCTAATCCATTTTGTGTATAATGTAAGATAGTGGTCCATTTTGATTCTTTTGCATGTGGCTGTCAATACCATTCATTGTATAGACTATCCTTTCTCCATTGTATATTCTTGACTCTTCTATCATAAATCGACCATTAGTTAATTATCTTTAATTTTAATTTTAAAAATTGTTTTGAAATAACAGTTGATAAACATTTGTCAGTAAGAATCTGAGGAAATGTGTGGTATAAGCAGTGTAAGTTGGGACTTAACTTCCCTCTTGTTGGTTTGAGGTATATCACAAATATTTTCTTTTCTGCTGTTTATGGGGATAGATGGTCCTTTCTGGTTAAATTTTAACTCAAAAAGAAAAACTATCCCCAAGTACATTTTTTTTAAAGAATTGATTGTGCTTGAGTAGGCCGTCCTGTGTTTTTGTGACAAAATTATTAATTAGCACAACTGAAAAGATTTAATAAATTTATGGATTACATGTATCGAGATTAAGTCAGATTACACGCTTGGATTTTTAAATGACATTAGAAATATGTTTTCGTACTGTTTAAATTCTTCAAGCTTTTTTCTCAATCTTTTTCATTGAAATAATAACCGAAATATTGACCAAAGTATAATATTCTTAGTAGTTGATACCATTATACATTTCAAGATACTCTCTTTGTTCTTTAAATCTTTTGTATTTGTTCCTCTCCATGATGTCTTTTAAAAAGACTTTCAAGTATTTTACAAACAGGGTTTGCTGGCTAGTAATTAATTCTTTTCCTGTTATCAAAAGAGATTAATAATATCTTGTTATGTAGCTCCAAAAAAGAGTGCAAAAACATTATAGACATACCTGAACAAAAGAGAAATAACAGCAGTAGTGCGATGTAGGGTGTCTTTGTTCAGCAATCTGTGGACTTTGGAGATGGCATCAGGATTTTTCTAAAAGATGGGTCATAGTGAAGGAGGATGGTTCGTTAAACTCCCCATCATCTCTGAAACAATTCAAGAAAAGTTTATGAATGATTATCTTTTTAATATTTGCTAGCTGAGTCATTGAGTGCTCCTATGAGCTTAATGAGCATGACACCATTAAACCTTCTCATGTATGATCAGCCACACGTTATTATCCATACAAGGTCCATTTTTTCCTAAACAAAAGCTACTTTTAGAGATCATTATAGGTAATTTTCTCTTAGCAAGAACCTTTAGGTTCAGTGAAGTATCTTTATTTGTTGACAGTCTTATTTTTTAGTGAAAGTTAGGGGGAATGAGTTTTTCTTTTAATAATTAAATATAAAAAATAGGTTGAAGGCTTTTAAGTCTTATAAAGGAAATGTTTTCCAAGCTCGAGCACAATCGCTTTGCTTTTTAATATTGGCTATTATCTTATAATGAATTAGTATTTCAAGTCTGAAATATAATAGGATGACTGGTAGGGTCTGTTTATAGGCATCAAATCTGAACTTAAAAATTAAGTTTAGGATACCATTCAGGATATATAACTGAAAGAATCTAAAACTTAGGGTCAGACTGCTTCGTCTTAAATTCCCTTGTATAGGAAAATGAGAGTTGTGTTTAAAGTACAGTCCACTCATTCTTTTGTCTTTCTAGGTTTTGGCACAAATACCAGTGGGAATAGTATTTTTGGAAGTAAACCAGGACCTGGGACTCTGGGAACTGGGCTTGGTGCAGGATTTGGAACAGGTAAGGAACTGTACCATGAGATTTAAGGAAGTGATAATCTTGGGTTTCTAATTGCTGGAACTTAAGACTATGTTGATCATATGCTTGGAAATTAGACGTGTAGATTTTCATTTTCACAAATGGATTTATAAAACATTTGCAGCAGTTATGCTTTACCAGGTTTTAAAACATTGGCACATTTCTTTAGAGGCTGTGTGCTCCCTTTCTACAAATGTTTGTCCTCTGATAGTCCTGGCTATCTGGGATTTTCAGTATTTAATGTGAGACTTGTTAATACGGTGACATTTTTAACTTTTAAGTTTCCCATGTTACCTTTGTGACCGAGATTTGAGACATTTAACTGTCTATCAAGCAAGCTTTATTTACCCTAATAGTAAGAGCACATGCTGAAGTAATTAACATATAAATACTCTTGAGTTTTTGCAAGGTCTGTGCATACTTTTCAGTTCTTTTTACTGTGATACAGAGCTGAAATGTCACACCTTTGTGTCTGCTCTCGTTATTGACCCAGCTGTTTTAAACAATTGGAGGGTGGTGATGGTCATAAAATGAATGAGTTCTCCAGCATATAGAGTTCAACAAGGTTGCTCAAGTATAAGCATAGAGTTAATGCATACTTTCCCAATTCATCTGATTATGGGTTTGGCCATTTACTTGCAGTTTATTTCCATGTTCTCTGCTTTCACTTACCAGTTTTCTGCTGTCTTTGTTTTTATTATTTATCTCGCATCTTTTTTTTAATGGAACACCATTTTGTACTTAATGAACGGTTTCTTTTTTTCTTTTTTTAAATAAAAGATGTGCTTGTAAAAAAAAACTCAATACAGAAGTACTATGAAAAGTTCTATCTTTTAGCTGTGAAGTAATAGCTGTTGAAAGTTTGGTCTTGTCAGACCCCATTATATACATTTTTCAAACATGTACTTAAATATATACTATATACACATACATATTTAAACACATGTGTGTTATATATAGGCTTTTCTTTTGTTCTTATATGGAAACCATATTCTACATGAGTTTTTTTAAGCCAAATGATGAAATACATTAATTAGTTGGATGTACTATTTATGAAGAGGCCTACAACTAGCATTTTTAAAACATAAACTGGAATTTTTCAAAAACTGTTCTGCAAAGTTAAGTATTGTTTTATTTAACTTTGATTTACATACACAAGGTGGGGTAAAAGCAGGTTTACGGTTGTGAGTATACAAAACAGTTTCTTCTTGTATTATTTATTAATATATTATTTTCCATACAAACAACTGTAAACTACTTTTGCCCACCCCTGGATGAGTGTTATGGGTCTCAGTGTATTTCATGTTGCATGCTGTAGTCAAAGTGTTTCAAACTGGAATCAACTGCCATATATAGTACTCTGTTTCTTTTTTTTTCTTTTTTCTTTTTTTTCTATTTTCCATGGCATTTTGGGCATATAGTTTTTCTCTTGGTCAGTATGTATATAGGTCTAACTTATTCTTTAAATATAACTTATTTGGTATTTCATTGTATGTGCATACATACACCTAACACACAAATACATATATATGCCATAATTTATTTAATGTTTCCCCTTTTGAGGGATACTTGAGTTATATTTTATATTATTGGCAATGCAATAATGAAGATACTTGTGACATAATTTTGTGTGTTAGTATTATATAGAATTTATCCTTAGGATTGGAATTCTTTCAGAAGATAAACAGATACTGAATTTTGCTCAATCTCGCTAACAGTTTGCCTTCTAAAAAGAATACCAGTTTGCATTTTTGCTCATATTTGTATAAAAATGCTCATTTTCCATAACTTTTCCGTATTGTTGGACTTTTTCATCTTTACAGGCATGATAGTGAAAATTAGTATATTCTAATTTGTACTTCACTCGTTATTGGTGAAGGATATCCTTGTTTACTGGCCATTTGAATCCTTGAATTCCTTATTCCATAACATTTGATTATTGTTTTTAATTTATGTCTGAGAGTGCTTTATATATTTTGGCTATTAACTCTTTTTGGTTGTGTGACAGTTTCATTTGAGCCTTTAAACTTAACAGTGTAGAACTAAAAAGTTCTAATGTTTTGCACAATGTGATTCCTAAACTTAAGCAGAATGTATTGTCTGACATCAATGTTCTCTTCTAATCCCAGAGGAATATTAACTTTTGTGTGGGTAAATTAAGGGTTTTCCCCAAAGGTAGTTTTGTTATTAAAGATTTTATTTATTTATTTTTGGAGAGAGGGGCCGGGGAGAGGCATTGGTCTGTCACCTCTGGCACCCCCCCCCCCCTTTTGAGGACCTGGCCTGCAATCTAGGCATGTGCCCTAACCAGGAATCGAATTGATGGCCTTTTGGTTCCCAGGCAGGTGCTCAGTCCACTGAGCCACACCAGCCAGGGGCCCAAAGGTAGTTTCAATTCTAGACACTATAGTAACCGTAAGTCTAAGGCCTGGGTAAGACTCTAATGTCTGTCACAGGTATTTCCACTGAGTCTGTATTTCATTTCATTCATGTTATTGTCTTCTATAAGTTTTATTTTTATGTGGTCAAAATTGTCATTCTCTCCTTTTTGGCTTCTTGGTCTTGCAGATTATGATTAGCAGTGCCTTCTCTTACAATCTAAGATTATAAAATGTTCTATCACATTTTTTGTGATGCTATTGTCTTCTATTCCATAGTAATACATATCTCAGCCTTTTTATTAGTTTGACTATATATTTTTCTTAAAAAGTTCTACCTCACAGACAACGAATTACATTTTTATTATTGTTATATATTCCTCATTCATGCCTTGTTCCCATAAACTGAAAGCCAAATAGAATTAATAAAGAATTTTAAACCCCAACCTTAGCAGCAGGTCATGTAGGGAAACAGGAATTGTGAGGATCACCAAGCACATGCTCTTGGAATTCTTTGATGAGTACATCTGCTGAAGCAGATTTTTAGCTTTTAGAGGAATGTGTCTGGAGAATGCTGTATATAAACACCCATATTCATGAACTCTGCATTTCATGGTATCATAAGTAGAATAGAACTGTAGCATTGGGTTGTGTTTTTGAGGGGACACAAACTGAATAGGTATTCCTGTGCAGCTTCTTGTTTTGAGTGATGGAGATTCAAACTCATACCTCAACAGAAATAAATTTCCCTGTAACATAGGCCTTTGCCTACTTCATGAATAGTTGACTATAAAAATATAAAATGTACAAATACTAAGTTTTTTGTACACTTAGATTTAAGTGATCAAGTACTATAAAATATTTTATATTATCCTTTGGCATGTAATTTTTTTTTTTCTCCTGATGTGCTCAAACGAACACTAATTAAATCATGGATATATCAGTTTCTTCTTCATAGTGATATTAACTACCAGCATCATCAGTGGTATGCCATTTTCTTGGTAGTTACTTAGTAATAATATTAAGGAGTTTTAGTTCTTAAAATTTTCCGTGAAACAATAAGTTTAAGAGAACAGCTAGCAAAGTTGATGGTTATACCAAGACGTACACAGAAAAATCTACCCCATGCTAATAGATACCATAGATAAAGTTAAATTCTAAAATGTATCAGAAGATCTCCAAAGGAATATAATCATTTTCACTTTTCATGGAGTTTCTATGGTCACTTTTACCGTAGTGCTCCCCATATATCTTCCTTATGATTCCTACACCTAATCATAAATACAGCACATTTCTTAGATTGATATTACCATACATCAGAATGTTTCCAGTAAGTCCTTTCATTAAGCATAAAAAGTTATTTGTGCAAAATATAAGGCAGATCTGGATAAAATACATGTCTCCCTTGATAAACTATAACAGTATGCAGATCATTTTATGACAGTCCCTAACCAGGTCACTTGAACCTCCCAATGTCTTTATTCTTTTGTGGGGTATTGAAATAAAGTGATTTTTAGACCATTATCCAGGGCTGCTGCAAAGGTGAGGGAAATACTTACTCAGAACAGAAATTTTATATATTTGGATTTCATCCAAGTTTTTGTGTAGGGGTAAGGATTTGTTTGCCACCTGGAAATGTAAAGACTCCTGAAATTTGGCTGTTAACTATGTCCTTTGAGGGAGTAATATAATTTTAGTTTTTCTTGAAATTGTCACCAAATTTTAACAGTTAAAGTCTTAGTCCCTGTTCCAGAGTGGGGCTTTTTAAGATGAAATAATCCCATTGCTACATTGTTGTCGCTTTGTTGTTAATGAGATTGGGCAGTTAGGGAGTACTTTCTGTATTCATTAGTCATCATCACTATTTTATATTGTATGAATTTTCTGCGTATAAACTTTTTTTTTGGTTACGATTTCAAAGCAGTTCCCATTTGATATTTTTAATCTCCAAGAATTATATCTTTGAAATGATTTTAATGATTTTCCTGATAACCCATATCTCTATCAAGATACATTGGTGCATTAGAAGGAACTTCACATCTTCTAAATTACCATTAACTTTTTGAGGAGGGGAGGATGGAAGTCACTTTTTTTTTTAATGTAAAAAAATTTATTTATTTTTAGAAATGGGAGGGAGGGAGAAAGAAAGGGAACGAAACATCGACCAGTTGCCTTTTGCACACCTGCATGCCCCCAGCTGGGGACCAGGTCTGCAACCCAGGCATGTGTCCTGACCAGGAACAAACCAGCAACATTTCAATTTGTAGGCCGATGCTCAGTCTGGTGAGCCACACCAGCCAAGGCTGGAAATCTTTTAAATGATTTATGTCAGTATCATATTCTAAATAAATGAATTCTCCCTGTTTTATACTTTAAAAATCACTGCTGACATAAGTAAGAATCATTAGGCATTAAAACGTTACAAGTGTAGCCCTGACCTGTGTGGCCCAGTCTGTTGAGTGCCGACCTGCGAACCACAGGGTCTCTGGTTCAGTTCCCAAGTAGGGAGAGCACATGCCTGGGTTGCTGGATTGTGGGCTGGATCTCCATTTGGAGGCATGTGAGAGGCAACCAATAAATGTTTCTCTCCCTCTTTCTCCCTTCCCCTCTCTCTGAAAAAATAAAATAAAATCTTTAAACAACAACAACAACCCAAAAAAAAACCATTACAAGTTCCTGCAGTGGGTTTCCCTCTGGTTAAAATAAGTTCTTATTCCATCCAAGCTAATTCATGCTGAGACTTGATTCTCTTTGGTAACTATATCACAAGTCATTTAGCTATTATAAAATAAAAAGTCTAAAGTAGTTTTCATGAGATGAAATACTTGAAAGTGTTACTATTTTTATTCAAAGAAAATATATTGGATTTGGTTTTCTGTAGTTTAGCTTTTAATAGTCAAAACAATGATATTGAGTATTTTGATTTGCAAGTATTTTTTAAATTGATTGTAAAGAGAGAGAGGAAGGAGAGAAAGATAATCACTTTGTTGTTCCACTTGTTTATACATTCATTAGTTGTTTTTTGTATGCCTTGGTTATGGATCAAACCCACAACCTTAGGATAGTGAGACTCTACTCTCACTGAGCTACCAGGCCAGGGCCTGATTTGCAAATATTAAGATTTAAGGAGAATTAACTATTTTTAATTCTTTAAAAAACCTGTTTTACTATGGAGTAGCAGTTAAGAGTCCAGATTGTATTTGTCAGATGCACTGAGGTTTGAACCCCAGTTTCACTTTTTCCTACATTTATGACATGGAGCTAATTACTAAACCTTCAGTTTTCTCATCTGTAAAATAGTTTCTGCTTCCAGGCTTATGGAGAGTAAAAGAGATGATACTACTTAATATTTAAAGAGTGTTAATATTTACCAGACATCTACTTGCTTAGCATGTATTTATTTACTTTAAATATTAGGATAAATAGCTAAGCCATGTGTTATCATCTCATTATAGTTGAGGAAGCAACACAGAGAGGTTCAATATTTTGCCTACCATATATGTAATGTACTCAGCACAGTGCCTGGCATATAGTTAGCATTTACTGTATTAGCTCTTGTTGAAATGAGTGATCATTATGAAGTTTCCAAATGTATTATGTTTTTAAGTAACTGACCTCTGGTACAACATTCAAAGGATCTTCTGTGGCGCATTTTTCTTTCCTCTTGTCTCCATAGCTCTTGGTGCTGGACAGGCATCTTTGTTTGGGAACAACCAACCTAAGATCGGAGGGCCTCTTGGTACAGGAGCCTTTGGGGCCCCTGGATTTAATACCACGACAGCCACTTTGGGCTTTGGAGCCCCCCAGGCCCCAGTAGGTAAGTGTCAGTCACTTTAGAAGGCTTTTCTCAGTTTATTTCTTGCTAATACTTAACTTGCTGACCTGATTTCCCACTTCACCTCTGTTCCACTCCTACCAAAGCAGTACACGGCAGACTTATGAATAATTATGTAGAGCAGAAGGACTTGTAAGCGATCCTGGACTTCCCTGCTTCCCCATTCTCAGACCTACTCACCCAAAGAAACCACTTCTGTTACAGCTTTAAATTCATCTGGTATATAATTAATTTCATGTCTCTGAATGATGTGCTTATATTGCTGTGTTTTGCTTTATTAAATATAAGTAAATTTAAATTGCTAACGATAGGTGAAAATTTAGCTCATTTATCACCTCTATGTTCTTTATTCGCTTCTTCCAATATAACTGTGTTTATTTACTAAATTTCCTGTTCAGTTTTGTCTGTTGAAGTGTTTTTCATGCTTCATTCATTTGAATACCCTTTCTCAGTTTTTGCAATACCTACCTGCCACTTTTATTATTTCTAATTCAAAATTAACTTACTTTTTAACTTAAATATCTTTTTAAAGAAAATTATGTCCTACCAAAAAGGAAAAATTGATATCATCTGACATAAATAGAGCAAGATAGATAGGTAGAAAAGAAAGGAATTTAAATTCGTCTCCAGTACTATTATACTCCATGTACCACGTTTTGAGAAGCCTTTGCAGATTTAAGCTATGTCCTTACATACATTTTTTTCTTCTATCAAATGCAGGATAGTATTTCTTGACTCTTTGGTCAAATAAGAATATTAGTGTATTAATATCCTTCTTTACCCTTCTTTTTTCCTCATTTCTTTGCCTCTTTTTACTTTTATATAGATGAAGTTGATAACACGTTCTATCTTAAATTATTACTGTCTTTTCTGTTTAAAGCATAAAAGTTGCAAATGAATGCATTTATTATACGTATGAAAACAAATGCTGCCCAGCCAAGTACACCTTTACCTTAGAGCTTTTCCTGGGATTTCTGATTCTTCTTTTTCCCTTTTATTGCCAGCCCTTATTGCCTTCCTAAAGTAGTCTAAATTCTTAAGGATGTTATCTAAATTCTTTTACCCTAGAATACTTGGTTCTTAGATCCCTAAGTCCTCTGCAGCAATATGAGCTCTGATTATTCCCTAGGCCTTCAGCATTGCTTGTCGATGTTCCTTTCAAGTCTTTTAGTGGGAACTGCTGTGTCCTGAATATAGAGTTTTCCTCTTTTTTCCCCCGAGTTTTCTGGAATGTATTTTCAAGTGTATATGAAAGGTAAACTTTGGCCACTTACAGATCTAAAAATATCTTCCTTCATTTCTCACACTTTAATGTTAAGGAGTTCTGGTATGAAAATAATTCACTCTCAGAACTTTTACTGTATTCCTTCTTGTATTAACCATTACTAATGAGACTTGTAATGTCTTCCTGATTCTTGAAACTTGTTCCCCCTACTCCCACAAACATTTAGGATTGTCCCTTTGTCCTGAAATACAAGGATCTGCTTAGATCTTTTCTATCATAAATGCTTGGACTTTTTTTGGCGGGGGGGCAGTAGCTGTGTTTCTACTTTTTAGATTTTTGGTTCTCTTCTAAATCATCACCTTTTGTATTTAAATTTTTATTTTTAATGTATAAGAATTTTTCTTGTTCTCTGAAAGTTTATTTAAGCATCTGGTTCTTAGATGCAGTTTTTTATTGAAACTCTGAATTTGTTCATTGGCATTAAATTTATTTTAAAGGTTTTATTTATTTATTTTGAGAGAAAGGGGAAGGGAGGGAGAAAGAGAGAAACATCAAGGTATGGTTGTCTCTTGCGCACCCCCTTCTGGGGACCTGGCTCACAACTCAGGCATGTGCTCTGACAGAGAATTGAACTGGCAACCCTTTGGTTTGCAGGCTGGCACTCAATCCACTGAGCCACACCAGCCGGGCTGAATTTGTTAATTGTCATTATTATTATTATTTTTAATGGTAACACTGATTCTGATGTTTGCATAGGTTCTTCTGTTCCTTAAATTTTCAGGATTATGTTTGTTTTGTTTTGATCTTACTCTTTAATGCATGGTGACATTTTCCATTTATATTTAGGAATAATAGAATAAAAGGCTCACTGGCTATTTGTATACCAGTTGGTTCCATTTTAAGCTAACTAGTCCAGGAACCAGTTATTATCCAATGTCAGCTCTGGGATGATGCAAGCACCCAAACTAGTTGCTCTTGTTATTTGCACAGTTACCTTGGTTTCATCAGAGGCACACACTCTGCTATTTTTAGCCTATCTGTTGAGCACCAGGGATTAGGATCCAGATGACAGTGTCCTTGTTTTGCATGTACAATTTGCATTGATTATTCTCTCCTATTTTCAGTCACACTTCATCAAAGCTGATATTCTTGAATCCCTAACCTTTCAGAGATTCTCAAAGGCAGATATAGCTTTGTTTTTTATCGTAATCCTCTATTCATTTGCTACTTTCCCATTCTTTGTAATTATGGGTTATATCGATGTATTTTAATATTTTTAACCATAGATTTTATTTAGGTCTTTGGAAGGATTGGAGGTGAATTAGGATTCCAGTTGACCTCTTTTGAGTATTAAAATAAGCTATATCATTAAAAATGATATTTTCATTTTATTTCCCTTACTTTTGGTTTTCAGTGGGAAGTGGTAGCATAAATATTGTAACCTGCCATTTTTACTTGGAAAGTTTTCTGAATGGCTTTTAATAATCTCATCTATTTTTAATTTTTTTTCAATTACAGTTTACATTCAATATAATTTCGTATTAGTTTCAGATATACAGCATAGTGTTTAGACAGTCATATACTTTACAAACTGTTCCTCTTGGTAGTTCCAGTTCCCATCTGGCATCATACGTAGTTATTACAATGTTATTAACTGTATTCCCTATGCTGTACTTTACATCCCCATGACACTTTTGTAACTACCATTATGTATTTTTCACTCCTTTTTACCTTTTTCAGTCAGTCCCCAAAACTCCCTCTCCCTCTGGCAACCATAAATTTGTTCTCTGTATTCCAGCTTTTTTCAAAGTCCATTAAAAAGTTCCGACCAAAAAATTTAGTATTACAGTTGCATAATTAGTGTTACTGCCCATTTAAAAGTACTTGTATTGACCTTTTTTATTTTAATTTTTAAAATTTTACTTATTTTCAAAGTGAGGGGAAGACAGGGAGAGAAACACAGATGTGCGGGAGAAACATCAGTCGGTTGCCTCTCTGTGTGCCCCCAACTGGCAACCCAAACAGGCATATGCCTTGACAGGGAATTGAACCTGCGATCTTTCACTTTGAGGGACGATGGACAGTCCACTGAGCCATACCAGTCAGGGCTGTCCTGACTTTTAGAATGTACATTTTTGCATCACAGAATCTTAGAAGGTGCTTTATGTCAGTCATTCCCTACTGTGGGAGTCCTTTACTTACTTTAAAAACCTCAGTTCAGGTGCCTTTCTTACAGATCATTCTACTCTATTCTTTTGTTCAGGTTGTTTAAGTACCCTGGCTGGTGTGGCTCAGTGGATTGAGTACCAGCCTGCGAACCAAAGGTCACTGGTTCGATTCTCAATCAGGGCAAATGCCTAGGTTGCGGGTCAGGTCCCCAGCAGTGGGCGCACGAGAAGCAACCACACATTAATGTTTCTCTCCCTCTCTTTTCCATCCCTTCCCCTCTAAAAATAAATAAATAAAATCTTTTCTTAAAAAATACCTGCCTTCATAGTATTTTACCCAGTGGTTCCACTTTTACCTCCTAAAGCTAAGCAAAACAGCCTGCTACAATTTCTTTGCAGAACCTTATTGTCTTTGTCTTTCTTCCAGATAAAGTATCATTAGCTGCTTCTGTTCTCAGAAGAGTTAATTTTTAAACATTTTCCTGTTATTTTAATCATTTGATCATAGTGCAGTTTTTTGATGTTTCAAATAATTGCAATCAGAATTGGATATAACACCAGTGATAGCTTAACTAATGCTTATGTTTCCTTATTCTCTTACCTTATTTTTGCTAATGTGAAAGCTCTTTTTTTCCTGTATTTTTAAATAATAGAGTTAACATAGAAAAGACTTTATACTTAAACATAAGAAAAATAAAAACATACTCACATGTTTTTCTAATTATGTTTGGGTTTTTAATGGAAGCTTTCATTCTTCTGCGCAAGTTCAGGTGGGGTTACTTATACTTATTACACGATGGGATTAGCTGGTACGAGTCAGCCTTTTAATGGGTAACTGACTGTGAAGTAGCAAACTGACCAGTGAATATTCTTCTTTAAAAATATTCAGGTTCTCTTGAGTCATCTTGAATAGTCCACAGACACTACTAATACTTTGTGCCACTGCGTACACAAAACATACTTTGCAACATTATTTTTATCACTTATAGTCTTAAAATGGGTTCAAGAACTTTTCTGAATGCAGGTGATATACTATATGTTTTTTAATTTTTTTTTTTTTTTTTTTTGGAGAGAGGGGAAAGGAGGAGGGAAATGAGAGAAAACATTGATTTGTTCCCTCTGGTAAACGCCCTGACTGGGGACTGAACCTGCAACCCAGACATGTTATGTTCCCTGACTGAGAATTGAACTAGCGACCTATTGCATTGTGGTACAACTGAGCCACACTGGTCCGGGTACTGTATGCTCTTTAAACTGACATCTCCTTTGGATTTCACAATCCTGAGCAAATTTGCACTTGCACTAAATATCAGCCTACAGTGTGTTAGTATTTAATGAATACATTTGATTTTTACGAAAGCTTAATTTGACTCAGGTGGAACTACCCCTTTGTCACAAATTTAGTTTCAGCTGTCTATTCTGGGTTTCTTGTTGCTGCTGCTGCTGTTGTGTTTTTTCTTCCTATTGTGAATATTAAACATTTCAGAATGTTTTGTTTATGGCACTCCTTTAATGTATACTGTCTTATATTTTAGCTTCAACCTTAGCCTTAGTTTATAAAGGAAAAAAAGTATCTCTCTAAAATGACTTAAGTGTGATTTGATTTTTTTAGCAATCTTTTTGGAAATATTTATCTTGCAAAGAGGTTTCTTCATCAGTCAAGGTACAATGCAGATAATGTGGGGTTCTTTTTTTCTTTTTACTGTGTACAGTTGTAGATCATTGTTCTTTGTGTTTCTTAAATTCTCTGATGACCTGTTCTTACACTTTGAAAGAAAATTAGACTAATTAGGTGACTTTTATTCCTTTCAATTTTTACTTGAATATAATATGTGTGATAAGTATAAATAATAAACCTTTAAGGGCACCTTAACAGCTGTTTTCATATTTTTGTATGCCGCTGCCTTCCTCTATATTCTCAATATATATAATATTTTTTATTCTGGGGTGTGTACTTATTAAAGCAAATCAAAGATACTTTCTTGTGTCTACAATGAAACACACTGTAATTATTTTTAGTAACTACTTAAACTGCCATGTTGATGTATCATGATTTTTACAACTGTTAATGTTTGACATAGGTTGTTTCCAGTTCTTGGCTGTTAAATATAGTGTTCAGTGAACACTTACATTTTTCTTTATTTTGTTTTTAGTTTAATTAAATCATTGGGTTAATTTCCATGCTTGAAATTATTACTTTGAAAACTGTAAAAATAGTGTGTGCTCTATATACTGTCATATTGTTTCTTTTAAACAGACTAAACTACTTTGTAATGTTTTTAAAGTCAAAGACTAATATAACTGTGTCACTGATAGATAATGAGTTAGGCATAAAAATATTTCAAGGTTGTTTTAATTTACATATCATTGGTTAATAATAATGATGAACACCTAAGTAGAATTTATGTTGTCTCTTATGCAGTGCCTCTTCATATCTTTGACTCATTCCTTTATTTGATTGTTGATTTCTTCACAGTTTTCTCCCCTGCTCCCCACCAGTAATGCCATTGTAATTCTGAACATTTTGAAGACCACATCTTCAAAAAGATTTTTGAGTTCTCTTGCTATAAATGCACTGGATCTTTGGACTGACATCTTGCTTTTTCTTTTCTTTTTATAAAAAGCTTTGACAGATCCAAATGCTTCTGCTGCGCAGCAGGCTGTTCTCCAACAGCACATCAACAGTCTAACATACTCACCTTTTGGAGACTCCCCTCTCTTCCGGAATCCCATGTCAGACCCTAAGAAGAAAGAAGAGGTAAATTTAAGGATTCTTATTCTCAGAGAGGATAAACTAAATGTGCAGATTGTAATTTCTAATGTACAAAGCCTAAGCAAAGTTAGGTGTAATTAATTTTTTAAGACACATTTATTTATGCTTTTCACTAGGTCAGAGGATAAATTATTTTTGCTGTTGAAAGGTAGCATAACAAACATTGAAATGAGCACTGGTCTAGATGTGGGGGCTGTGCCTTTTTTTTTTTTTTTAAGATTTTATTTATTTTTAGAGAGGGGAAGGAAGGGAGAAAGAGGGAGAAACAACATCAATGTGCAGGAGACCTATCAATTGGTTGCCTCTTGGATGCCCCCACCTGGGGACCTGGCCTACAGTCCAGGCATGTGCCCTGACTGGGAATCAAACTGGCACCCTTTTGGTTCACAGGCTGGCACTCAACCAACTGAGCCACACCAGCCAGGACAAGGGCTGTGACTTTTTAACAGCTCTGAAATAAGGCAGGTATTTTATAGTTCAGCAAACTAAGGCTCAGCTCCAAGAGATTCATTTTCCTAAAATTATAATGTTCTTAAATGGCAAATCAAAATCTTTTGTCCTGATTTCTGCATAGCTTTGTCTTAGTCTTTATGCTCTAATGGCATAGAAATGAACTTCTGCCCACTGTGTCATTAAAAGCATAGTGTTCGGTCTGTTTTTTGTTATTGTTTGTTTACTTGAATTTATTGGGGTGACATTGGCTAATAAAATTATGTGGGTTTCAAGTATACAATTCTATAATACATCATCTGTATATTGTATTGTGTGTTTACAACCCCAAAGTCAAGTCTCCTTCCATCGCCATTTATCCCCCCTTCACTCTTCTACCAACCCCTCCACTGCCCACCCCCTGCCTGCCACCTTTCCCTCTGGTAATCACCATGCATGTGTCTATGGGTGTTTAGAGGTGTTTTTGTTTTGCGTATGTGTGTGTTTTTTGCTTAATCCCTTCACCTTTTTTCATCCAGCCTCCCAACCCCCCTCTCCTCTCACAGCTATCATGAGTCTGCTTCCTATATATATATATATATATATATATATATATATATATATGTCTGTTTCTATTTTGTTTGTTTATGTTGTTCATTAGATCCCATGTATAAGTAAAATCATATGGTATCTATCTTTCACTGACTGGCTTATTTCACTTATTATACTGTACAGGTCCATCTATGATGTCGCTAAAGCTAAGATGTCCTTTTCTTGGCTGAGTCCATTGTGTAAATGTACTACAACAGCATTTACCCACTCATCTACTGAGAGGCACTTGGGTTGCTTCTGAATCTTGGCTATTGCAGATAGTGCTGCAGTGTACATATGGGTGCAAAGTCTTTGGTCTCTTTAATCCTTGCTTTACCACTTACAGTGTGTGAGACATTGGGCATGTTTCTCTGCCTCTCTGAGTCTGTTTCTTCATCTATAAATGGGTATAGTAATATATATAATAATATAGAGAGGAGCCCATCTGCTCATGAATGAATGGATAAACAAAATTTTGTATTTCTATACAGTGGAATATCATTCAGCCATAAAAAGAAATGAAATACTGATACTATATAGTAGATACTAATAGTACTATACTGTGGATGAACTTTCAAAAATAATTAGGCTAGGTGAAAGATGCAGTGTAACACAAAAAAGCTTAATCATTCCATTTATGTAAAATGTTTATAATAGGCAAGTCCATAGAGTCAAAAATTCTTGTTTGCTAAGGGATAAGGGTAAGAATTCAGAAGAATGGGGTTTCTTTTTGGAATGAAGGAAATGTTCTGGCTTTAGGTAGCAGTAATGGTTGCATAACCTTGTAAATACAATAAAAAGCGCTCAATTGTATGCATTAAAATGGTGACTTTTATGTGAATCTTAATAAAAAATTAAAATGTGATAGAGGGAAGAGCATAGATTCTAGAGTGAGTTTGGTAACACTTCAGAAGAGGTAACAATTAACTCTGTGTATGTACATAGAATTTGGTAGTCTAGGTTAAGACATTTCCAGAAAAGGCACAGAATTGTAAAAAATTACAAAGAGATCTCAGAAGGTTCATTTTTACTGAACTCTTAACAGTCTGCATTTTTAAGAGAAGAATAAATTGATATGTTTTGTATGTTAGACATTGTTGTTTCAGTGGTGTATACTATATCTGTAGTTTACTATTAGAGGAAACAAAAGTCCTAACATCCTGAACATGCTATAGAAACATGGTAAAGGTGCCATCAGAATCAACCTGGAGTCTTAATTTAGTTGTGTGTTTCCTCCAGTAACTTACAGTTTTCTCAAAAATCAGGGAAAGTAATTTTATTATTTTTATTCCCAGTACTTGGTGTTTGATTCATGGTGATTATCAGTGTTTGTGAAATGATGGATAAATGCAAGCTAGTAATCTGTTTTTGGGGAGTGATTTGGATTACATAACAGTTGAATATTAATTCACAGCTGTGTGTCAGTTTTTCTTGAAGCATACAATTTTTATTTAATTGAAAAATAATTTTCTTGTAATTTTTTTGATACAATGTTTTCTTAAAATGACTAAGTATTGTCATTCTTGTTTTAGAAAAATGCTGTAAGCTCTTTTGTAAGATAAAGAGAAATGCACAAATTATATTAATAATATGTTAGTACATTTTGACTTACAAAGCACTTCAAATGCAGTATCTCAGTTACATTTTAAAACAAGTCAGACATATACTTGAAATGGGGGCTGGCAAGATAAGTAAAAGTCAATGATAGAGAAATAAAAACAGTTTCACTAGCATTCACACTGTACAACATTAGGTGTTGATAATCCTTGTTTTCTGGAATCCAAGGCTTCCAGAGGTGTCTAGTGGGTGAATGGCAGAGGTGAGGCTTGCACTCTGGTCTTCTGATTTTTAAGGCCAAAATTATACATTTGAGTTACACTAGAACTTGTCATGATACTTTTGTCTTTCAGAGATTGAAACCAACAAATCCAGCAGCCCAGAAGGCTCTCACTACACCCACTCATTATAAACTGACACCCCGCCCTGCCACCAGAGTTCGACCAAAGGCTTTACAAACAACAGGCACGGCCAAGTCACAGCTCTTTGACGGACTGGATGATGATGAACCATCCTTAGCCAATGGAGCATTCATGCCCAAGTGAGTTTATTTTTGTTTAAATAAATTAAGTGTAAAATACAGGGTGGGACAAAAGTAGGTTTATAGTTTTGAGAACACAAAACAGATTCTTGTATTGTTGCTTATTAATTACTGTATTATTTTCCACACAAACAACTGTAAATCTACTTTTGCCCTACTCTGTATTAATATGAACTAAATATGAAGTGCTATGTAATTGTTTATTTAAATATATTACAGTGTTACACAGTTATTTTTTTTTATTTAAAATATAGAATATCACAGAATGAAACTCCTTTCCTTAAAAATATGGTGGGATGCTGCTTGAGAAAAGATGGAAAGTACAATTTTATACATTTCTTAGACTAGCATTAGATTATTTTGAAGGCAGGGACCTAGCCACTTTTTAAGGATAACAGTTAACATAAAAATATTTTAATTAATATGCTTTTAAGTTTTACATATACATGTTTTTTTGTTTTGTTTTTGAGGTTAGTGCTTACATAATTTTAAGCAGAAGACACTTTTTTCTTACAGTGCAAACTGGCCAAACTGATTAAGAAGAATCTCTATATAATTTTGACTCCCATAAATACAGCTACTGACTCAATAATAAGATAATTATACAGAAAAACTCATGAAGTTTATAGAAGATTCTAGTTGATGGTAAACAGAAATTACACTTAAATTATGTATTAGAGCAAATATGCCCTAGAGAATTGATATATGCATAGAAAAAACCTGAAGAAAAATACATACTAAACTCTTAATAGTTAACATCTGAAAACACAACCTCACGGCATTTTATTTCTGGGTTGTATGTTTTTCTAGTTACATAGTTAGACATACACACATACACAGGCTGCAAGTACTTTTCTAATCAGAAAAAGTTTTTTAGGGAGTGGGCTTTGGAGAAAAGGTAGGAAATCACCACTTGCAGTTCTTTGTCTATGAATGATGTTAAAAAAATTTACTACTACTTTCTTTCCATAAAAATATGGTGGGACGCTGCTTCAGAAAAGATGGAAAGTCCAGTTTTACACATTTCTTAGAATAACATTAGATTATTTTGAAGGCCGAGGCTGTATTCCTGCTTATGTCCCTGCATTTAGCCAATTGTTAGGCACACAGTTGTTGAAAGGGGCTTGGATTCGTCATTCCAACTGTCTTTCAGGACAGTTTCACCTGATATCCTTAGGGTTTGCAAGTATGATATACAAATAGAAAAGATTCGAGTGGGAAAGTACACATTTTGCTATTAACACATTCTGTACTGCTCACAAGTTCCCTCATGTTTTGTACGCCATCTGTTAACGACCGCTCACGAGTTTTCTCATTTTTCACGCGCCATCTGTTATGGACTTTAGATGTCAACACACTGTCTTGTCCACATCGAATGAAGCGATCTCATTGGTGGAAACCGTGCAGGTCAATCTACGAAAAACTATATAATTGCACGAACCCATAAAGCATTGCAGTTACATTGTATTTTGGTCATTTGACCCTGGCATATGTCTTAGAGATTTCTATGCGGTATGCAATGTGTTTAATACCATGCTTCCTTCTTTGCTTCTACTTCCATGGTGTCGCTCTCAGCAGTCTTTTTTTTTTTTTAATTGTATCCCATGTACTGTACTCCACATCCTGTGACTATTCTGTAACTGCCAATGGGCCCAGGTAATATTTGATAACTTCCTTTTTTGGTAGGATTCAATATGTAAAACTTTGTCCAGGATTTTTGCCTTCTGTATTCATGACTTAGATTAGTTGAATGTTTCTTTCTTAAAATATCATCTAGTTTTGGTATAAAGGTTATCCTGATAAACAAACTGGGTAATATTTCCTCTTCCTCTTTTCTGGAAGAGTGTGTGTAAGATAAGATAGGCTTTTTTTTGTTTGTTTAGTTTTGGTTTGGTTTTTTTCATTGAATGTTAGGTACTGGTAAAGATACATGAGCCTGAAGTAGTATTTGCATTGGTGGTGGTGGTGGTGGTGTTAATTTATTTAAAAGTTATAGGACTGTTCACATTTTTTCATTTTGGTAGAATCTGTAGGGCTATCCCCATTTTGATTCCTGACATGGGTGTGTGTATGTGCATGTGCATGCACGCACCTGCATGCCTGTGACTTTTCTTCTTCTCAATCTCCGGTCAGGGATCTGCCCATTTTATTGGTAATTTAAAAGAACTAAGTTCTGTGATTATTGATGCTCTCTTTTCTGTGATCGTTTACTACTTCATTAATGGCCCAACATCTGGTTATAAATGTTCCAGGTGTTTTTGAAAAGAATGATTTTATCATTGTTAGGTCTGGCCTGCTAATCACTTAGGTCTTTATCCACACCTGTTTTGGAGGAGGGGGTTGGAATTTTTTTTTTTAAATATATTTTTAGAAAGGAGAAAAGGGGGGGGGGGAGAGAGAGAGAGAGAAACATTGATGTGTGAGAGATACATCGATCAGTTGCCTCACACCCCCAACTAGGGACCAGGATTGCAACCCAGGGACGTGCTCTGACTGGGAATCGAACCAATGACCCTATGTCTCATAAGCCAGCACTCAATCCACTGAGCCACACCAGCCAGGGCTGGAATTTTTTTTTTTTTTTTAAAGATTTTATTTTCTTATTTTTAGAGAGAGGGGAAGAGGAGTAGAAAGAAGGAGAGAAACATCAATGTGCAAGAGAAACATCTGTGCAAGTTGCCTCTCTCATGGGCCCCAATTGGGACCAGATCTACAATCTGGGCATGTGCCATGAGCGGGAATAGAACTGGCAACTTTTCGCTTGTGGCATGATGCCCAGCCAACTGAGCCACACTGTGCTCAGTGTGGTCAGGGCTGGTTTGGATGTTTTATATTCTTAACTTCCAGTATCACAAAAAAGATATGAACTCATCTGAAGTTTTCCTAAATGAATCCATTTTAATATTTAATAGCCTTTACAATGTTGTATAACAATTAACACCACTATTTCCAGGACTACTTCATCATTCCAAACAGAAACTGTGTACCTATTATGCAATAATTCCCTACTTTTTCCTTTCCTTAGTTCCTGTAAACCCATATATTACTTTCTGTCTGTATGAATTTGCCCATTTTAGATAACTCATTACAATCACACAATATTCTTTCACATCTGGATTGTTTTACTTGGCATAATGTTTTTAAGGTCCATTGTGTTGTAGCAGGTATCAGAACATCATTTCTTTTCAAGGCTGTTCCATTGTATGGATATACCACTTGTTTACCCATTCATGTGTTGATGGACACATGTGTTGTTTTCACATTTGAGCTATGTGAATAGTGCTGCTATGAACGTGGTGTACAATTATCTGTTTGAGTCCCTGTTTTGAAATCTTTAGGGTATATACCTAGGTTGGAATTATTTATGGTCATATATTAATTCTATATTTAACCTTTGGAGAAACTTTCAAACTGTTTTCCACAGCAGCTGCACTGTTTTACAGTCCCACCAGCACTATACAGTGTTTCAGTTTTCTTCATGTCCTTGTCAAGCACTTATTTTCTGTTTTGCTTGCTTTTTTTGTAATTGCCATCGTAGTGGGTATGAAGTGGTATCTCTTGCTTTTTATTTGCATTTTCTTTATGACTAATGATGTTGAGCATCCTACTCTATGCCTATAGGCCATTTATCTTTGAAGATGTAGCTTGTTTCCTTTTGTGTCCTTTTTAAAATTATTTTGTCATTTATTTTCACAACTGGCAGTAATTCGAGTTCAAGTATGATGATACTAACCTTCACAAAAGATTTTTTTTAATGAAATTTGCTTATAGAAATGAGTCAAAGCTGAACATGTGACCATGTACTTTTACTTTCAGTTTTCTCTTAACTTCAGGGGTAGAGACTTCCCAGGTCCCAACACAAAATGAGTGACATTCACTGGTGTCCCCACACCCTTAGTAGCTCTGGACTCCAGTCTCTGTCTCCTTAATCCCATAAGACAATCAAAAGTGTCCTGTCAGCCTCTTAGCCTTCCCCTTCAAGTCAGAAAAGTCCTCTCAGGCCAAAAACAACTCTGAAGTACCAGACACCTCCCTACGCCACTGTCCCCTTACAAGTTGCTAGTTCAGTCATTTTTTTACAACTTGTTGGCTCTCAGTGCCTACACAGAGTTTCACCTTTTCCAATTATCCTCCCTAAGAAGATTAGTTTGCATTACTTAGTCTGCCATTAATAGGCAGGCAAGTTTCAGTTTAGTTTTCATGTAGATAACAGTTCTTCATTTCAAGTGCCTGTTTCATTGGCTTGTTTAATAATATCATTACAATGAGTATAACAAGCCTACACAGGTTTGGAACAGACACTACTGACATTTATTACCATGTAACTCATTTGAGTCTAGAAGGAAATATACAAGTTTTCTGTTACTTACAGTTTTGTTTTGTTTTGTGTTAAGAGGGAATGAAGCACATTAATTAATCCCGTGAGTTTCAGTGAAAGTTAATTAAGATCTCTTCTATTGGTTCTTCTACTTGAAGCCCATATACTTTGGAAGTTCTTGCCTTAAGTAAATCTGCTATATGTGAACCCAAATTTTTAGATATTTGTGATCATTTGCATCTTTGGATATCAAGATTTCTTATTCCTACTGCTTTCTTGTCATCTTTTCTTAAAAATCTTTCTGTCATGGCCAGTGTGGCTTAGTAGCGGGAGCGTTGTCCAGTAACCAAAAGGTGAAAGTGTCTCTCATTTAGTCAAAAAAGTATCTGTTTATCCACTTTCTTCAGGGCAGCATGCCAAGTTTTATGGGATGAGACAGCTGTGAATCCCTAGTGCCAAAAGAAGGAAGCCCAGACTGGCGTGGCTCACTAGGTTAGGTGTCTCCCTGAAAACTGAAAAGTTGCAGGTTTGATTCCCAGTAGAGCACATGCCTGGGCTGCTGGCCACGTTCCTGGTTGGGGGCTGTGAGAGGTGACCAGTTGATGTTTCTCTCCCTCTCTTTTCACCCTCTTGCTGTTGGTAGATGATAGGTAGGTAGGTAGGTAGGTAGATAGATAGATAGATAGATAGATAGATAGATAGATAGATAGATGTGTGTATATAATCTTTCCTTTAAAAAAACAAGATGGAAAATGTTTAAAGAGAAAAGACATGTAGAGAAATAATTGAAATTTAAGACATAGTATAATGAGTGAACTGTTTGGATAAAGTGCTCAGTGGTTCAGAGAACCATGAACTAATATTTTCTAGGGGGAATTCCTACTTTGTTTTGGATGTGATTAGGTTTATTCTTTTAAATATCGGAGTGCAGTATATTTCGTACCTTATGTTCTGGTCATGTACTCATAGAAATAGTTTGTGATTTGAACTTGTTAGGTCATTTTTAGATAATACAAGAATTGAACAAGAGTGTCCTTTTTCGACTCCAATTTTTAAGATAATGTCTATGATGTGACTATGCGTGCCTGAAGTGTTTTTTTCTTTTTCTTTTGGTCTCTGTTTATAGGAAGAGCATTAAGAAGTTGGTTTTGAAAAACCTTAACAATAGCAATCTCTTCTCTCCTGTTAATCGTGAATCAGAAGATCTAGCCTCACCATCTGATTATCCAGAAAATGGAGAGAGGTAAACTGAATTCTGTTTTGGGTTGTTTCTGGTAAAGTACCCTATTCTCATTCGGAAAAGATTCTGAGCTAAAATTTATTTATTCTATGAAAATTTATGAAGTTTGGCAAATGTTACGTAGGAGTATTAATAGCTGATCAGCACCTAGAAACTAAGTCATGTTTTTGCTTTTTGAGCACTTTAGACCTTAAAATTATTGCAGTTCTTCTCATTTAATTCTGCAGAACTCTTTTGGTATCCATGTATTTTATTTTGAACAGGATTACCATTAATTTGACATTTACCTCCCTTAAAATGGAAATTTGTGATAAGTGTTGGAGTGATAGTCATTGTAGCCAAGCCAAAGCAAAATAGTGTGGAAGTATATAAAATGTATAAAGGAGGCAGTGGAAGTACATACACTAATCTTATTAGTGTGGTATACATTTTACAGTTTAGAAATTTGTTTATAAGCATATTCTTATAGATGAACATTGTAGAGGTTATACATGGATATATCATGGATACATGAATGATATATATTCTGTAACATGCTTTTTTCAATTTATTTTATTATAAATGCCATTGCATATCAGCATTACTATATCTGTACCCTCTTTTTTAATGACTATAGCTATTTGTGAATCTAAGATAATTCAGTCAGTCCTCTGTTGGAGGACATTTAGGTTATTTGATATTCCCATATTTGAAATAATGATACAGTGAAAAATACCTGTGTGTGTGTGTATTTACATACACACACGTATGTGTATGTGTGTCTATATATCTTCACTCCTGTGTTTTCTCTTTGGATAAAATTTTAGTTTGAATCTTTTCATTAATGAAGTACTAGTACTTTGCTGATGATAATATTAAAATCTGAAATTTTTTTCAATTTTTATTTTTTAATTATATTTTATTGATTATGCTATTAGAGTTGTCCTGATTTTTTTCCCCATTTTCCCCCCTGCACTCAGCACCAGCCATTTCCTCAGGCAATCCCCCCACGATTATTCATTTCTGTGGGTCAAGTGTGTAAATTTTTGGCTGCTCTATTTCCTACTCTGTACTTTACATCCCCGTGGCTATTCTGGCACCTTAGACCACTTAGTCATCCTGACACCCTCCCATGGCTATTCTGTAACGACCTATTTGTACTTCTTAATCCCCTCAACTCTTCATCCATTCCCCTCCCATCTGGCAACCATCATAATGCTCTCCGTATCCATGACTCTGTCTCTGTTCTTGTTTGTTTAGTTTGTTTTTTAGATTCAATTGTTGAGATGTATTATTTTGCCATTTTATTGTTCATACTTTTGATCATCTTTTTCTTAAGTCCTTTTGACATTTCATATAATAATGGTTTGGTGATGATGAACTTCTTTAGTTTTTTTCTTCTCTGGAAAACTCTTTATCTGTCCTTCTATTCTAAATGATAGCTTTCCTGGGTAGAGCAATCTTGTCTATAGGTCCCCACTTTTCATGACTTAGAATATTTCTTACCAATCCCTTCTAGTCTTCAGAGCTTCTTTTGAGAAATCAGCTGACAATCTTATGGGAACTACCCTGTAGGTAACTAACTTCTTTTCTCTTGCTGTTTTTAAGATTCTTTATCTTTAACTTTTGGCACTTTCATTATGATGTGTCTTGGGTCTCTTTGCATCCCTCTTGTTTGGGACTATCTGTGCTTCCTGAACTTGCATGTCTATTTCCTTCACCCAATCAGGGAAGTTTTCTTTCATTATTCTTTTCAAATAGATATCCAATTTCTTGCTCTTTCTCTTCTCCTTCCGGCACCCCTATGATGCAATTGTTTGACCTCTTGAAGTTATCTCAGGGGTTGCTTATTGCTAGTCTCATTTTTTTGGATTTGTTTTTCTTCTTATTCTGATTGGTTGTTTTCTTTTTGTTTTTGTTTTTTGTTACTTGGTTTTTGTTTTTGTTTTTGTTTGCTTTCTTATGTTCCATATCATTGATTTGATTCTCAGCTTTGTCCACTCTACTGTTGTTTTCCTGTAAATTCTTCTTTATTTCAATTAGTGTATCCTTTGCTTCTGAATAGATCTTTTTATGCTGTTGGGGTCCTCACTAAGTTCCGTGAGCATCCTTATAACCAGTGTTTTGAATACTGATTGCTTATCTCCGTTTTGTTTAGTTCTTTTTCCAGCGTTTTGATCTTGTCTTTCATTTGGGCCATGTTTCTTTGTCTTCTCATTTTGGCAGCCTTCCTGTATTTGTTTCTATGTAGTAGGTAGAACTGCTTTTTGACTCCATGTCTTAGTTGCATGGTTCAATGTAATAGGTGTTTTGTGGGGTCCAGTGGCACGGCCTCCCCTGTCACCGAAGCTATGTACTCAAGGTCTGTCCTTCGTGTGAGCCGAGCACACCCTCATCTTGTTGTTGAGCCTTGATTGCTGTTGGCAGATCAATGGGAGGGATTTATCCAGGTCAGTTAACTGCAAGGACCATGGACCACCAACCTCTGCCCTCTATGGAGGATTGGCTGTGTAGGTGGAGGATGGTGATGCTCCGACAAAGTCTGTAGCTCCCCACTGGGTGCACTTACCTTGGGGTTTCCTGGGTGTTGCAGGCCAGGGTCAGCCCCCACCTGTGTTTTGCCCCAGGCCACTCTACCTGAGCCATAAAGCAGTCTGAGATGGCTACAACTTGTGCTGGGCTTGGAGATTCCCAGGCAAAGCCAAACTGTGAATCTAGGCTGACTGCTGCTAGTCCTGGGCCTGGGGCTCACTGAGGCTGGCTGTTGCTTATTTGAGAGGATTTAGGAATTTGTGAAACATGAGCCAAGACCAGCCATTCATATGGAAAATTAGCTTGAGTGGGCCCTTAATTGGGTGGGGTGGTATCTCTCAGAGTCTCCAAGGCAGGTCATGCAGTGTTAGCCAGGTTAATGGAGGCTCAGAGATGGCACCAGCTTGCCGGCTCTGTTCGGGGAGGGTTTAGAAAAGGGACAATAGCCTCTGCTTTCCTTGATTCCAGACACTTGAGTTACTCCCTTTATGGCACTTGTATCTTTCAAAATGCTACCCCAGTGCTGGAGGTCAGAGGGAGTGAGTCTAGTAGATGAGTCTGTGTATGGGTTCTTTAAGAGGAACTGCTTTGGGCTCTAGCAGTTTCTTCCACTGACTCAATTCCTGCTGGTTTTTTTGCAGCCAGAAGTTGTGGGGATTTATCATCCTGGCACTGGAACCCTGGGGTGGGGGTCTGGTGTGGGGCTGGCACGCCTCATTCCTCACTCCTGAGATGTCCCTCCCAAATTTTTAACCACCACATGTGAGTGAGGGACCAGCCCATTCCTCATCTCTATCCCTCCTACTAGTCTGTATGGAAGTGGTTTCTTTAATTGTGTAGTAGTCAGACTTCCATTCAACTTGATTTCTGATGGTTTTAAGTGATGGTTGTTCTATATTTTAGTTGTAATTTTAATGTGGCTATGCAAAGAGGCGAGCCATTGTGTGCCAATGCTGCCATCCTGACAGGAAGTTTTTTTATTTTTAATATATTTTTAATTTTTAGTTTTTAATTTGTTTTTAGACAGAGGGAAGGGAGGAATAGAGGGAGAGAAACATCGATGTGAGAAAAAAATCAGTTGTGTTCCTGTTGGAAGCCCTCAACTGGGGGCCTGGCCTGCAACACCCAGGCATGTGCCCCAATCAGGAATTGAACTGGTGACCTTTCAGTTTGCATGCTGGTGCTCAGTCCTCCAAGCCAAACCAGCCAGGGCCAGAAGTCTCAGTTTTTTAAATTTGAAATTCACTCCTGATTATTTGACTCCCCCACAAAGTAGGGATTTTTTTTTTTTTTTTTTTACTAAAAATTTGCTACTCCATTTATTTGTGAAAATCGATCTGTTAAAAGCATGGAATCTACAGCCAGATGTCCTGGGTTAAAATTCCAACTGTAGTACTTAACAGCTTTTTGACTTCGGAGAAACTCCTTTATTTTCTGTGACTTAGTTTTTTTATGAAATAGGATGATAGTAACCTATGTCTCAGGATTAGTGTAAGTATTAATATTTTTAATATGTGGAATTACTTAGAATAGTTCCAGGCACTTAGTAAGGGTTAACTATTATCATTGTTACTACTACTGCAAGGGCTCAGATATTGTTTTTATTTTCCCTTTTCAGATTCAGTTTCCTGAGCAAACCTGTTGATGAGAATCATCAGCCGGATGGAGATGATGATTCTCTTATGGCACGTTTTTATTCTAACCCTATTGCAAAACCCATTCCTCAAACCCCAGAGACTGCTGGAAATAAACATAATAATAGCAGCAGTGTGGATGATACCATTGTTGCATTGAACATGCGTGCTGCCTTGAGAAATGGGCTCGAAGGAAGCAGTGAAGAGACCTCTTTTCATGAGGAGTCACTTCAGGATGACCGGGAAGAAATAGAAAATAGTACTTACCACATGCATCCAGCAGGTCAGGTTCAGATTCATACATGACTAATCTCTTAGCAGTCATTTGAAATTTCTTTTTATCTGTCACAGATTTTCAAAGGAATGAAAATCAGCTATCTAAACTTTTAAATATTCTTTTTATTGCATTTTTTTAGAAGTTAACATATAAACACTTTACAGTTATGCTTTGGTCAGTTCATAAATTCACATTTTGTATCCTGCTACCATTTAAAGATTCCAAATTTGATAGCCAAAGAGACTATCCTCTTACTTTCTTGGCTTTATAAATTTACAGACAATGCTTATTAGTTTTTAAATAAAATGACAAAGTATATAGACCATACACGAATGCCTAACATGTATATAGACATTCAAATGTCAGTTGTTGCTGTGGTGGTTTACCATAACCTCAGTTCCGTGCTCTCCCTCACCCCCCAATAACGAAGTGATTAATTTTTTCCCAACTAATTCATGAAACAAGTAATACAAACTATAATATTAGAGTGTCTTGATTGGATAATTAAAACTTGCCCTTTTTCTGTGTTGACATACCATCTTGCTTAGGTTTTGATAAATGTCATTACCTTTTAAAATATTTTTTAAGTTTGAGGTACAATTTATATATAGCGAAGTGCACAGATCAGTTTCATTTCTGTGAATTTTGGCACAAACAAATCCAGATATCTAATACCTCATAAAAAATAGAATGTTTCTTTTACCCTCACAAATTCCTTTGTGTCACAATCCTCTGAAGTCAATCAGAGTCTGATTTTTGTCATATAGGTTGATATTGCCTATTCTTGAACTCCATGTAAATGGAATCATATATACATATTCTTTTTGACTCTGCATGAGATTGCATCCATGATGTATGTATCAACATTTAATTTTTTTATTGCTCATTATGTAGATATGCCACATTTGGTTAATCTGTTCTCTTTTAGTGAACATTTGGTTTGTTTTACAGTTATTCTTGAAGTGTCTATAATTTCTCTATATCTATTTATTTTACTGCTTTCATGTAGAGTTCAAAGCATTTAAGAGTAAGTCAACTCTAATATATTTTCTGGTCACTTGGTGCCCTAAGGAAACAACTTTATACTTACACATTAAGAATCCCAAGTCTTATATTTGTGTGTGTATAGTTACATGAATTTATTATGATACTACATCTTTTTTCAAATATTCAGTCTCGATTTTTTTTTCTAGTTTTCTCATTAATCCTCCAAATTTAAAATGTTATTCCTCTAAACCTTGCTGATAGAGAAACAAGTGTACAAGTAAGTGGGCATTGCTGGAGTCTGGAGTTTAATCTTGATATTGGCTTTAAATTGTTTTCTCTCAAAAAGCAAGTTAGCCTGACTGACAAGGAGTGCTTAGAACAAGCATACCAGTGTTCTATTTTCTTGAATTCTTCAGAGATCTACCTAGTTGAAACTTTGAAAAAAACTAATATAAACCTTTGGAGTTTCCATTTGTCTTTGGGATTTTCTCATGTCAGATTTTTCATCTTGATTTTAGCTTTATATGGGGATGTAAATTTGAAAGATATAAGGGGTTTATGAAAGACAATAGGCTGCAAAGTAAAAAGTACTGGGTTTGGAGTTTTATCTCCACCTGTACCACTAAATTATTGTGTAAGCCAAGGCAAGTTCATTCAATCCTGGGTTTTGGTATCTTCAGGTATAAAACGTTTTTAAAACATGGATTAAGCAAGCTTTTCCTGAAATACATTCTGTGGAGTGCCTTTCATACTGTACTATATTAATGGGTGTCAGTGAAAAGAAGGTTCTGTGGTATAGTCTGGGAAACACTGGATTAAGTAAATTTAAATAGACTTAATTATTTTGCAAGTTTTCAGAACCTGTAAATGTGCTGTCCGAAACATGCTGTACCTGTTTCCCAAACTTACTTGAACAGGAAACTAAAAACACATACACACACACACTTTTTTCTAGGAGTAGTGCTTCTTAGAAAACCAGTTTGGAAAAATGTTTTATACCTATATGTTTTCTCTTTATATAGTAACTTAATTAATGATTATTTAGGTAATTTTTAAAATTACTCATTTTATAGAAAATTTTTTAAAAAGTTAAATATTACTGAAAATTCTTTTATCTAAGGACAGTCCCAATTAATATTATATTATCTGTTTCTCTTATTATAGGCATTGTTCTCACTAAGGTTGGTTACTATACTATTCCATCTATGGATGACCTTGCTAAAATTACCAATGAAAAAGGAGAGTGCATTGTCTCTGACTTCACTATTGGTCGTAAAGGTGAGTGTGAGTTTAGTAGTTAGTGTATAAGCCAGAGATCTACACCTTTTTTTTATAATTAAGTAAAGGAAGCTCTTTATAGCTGAATCCATTTTTTCCCAACATTTGTACCCACTTTATCCTGAATAGCAGACAAGTAAAACAAGACTAGAGTCTTATAACATTATTTATTAACTAGTTGGCTCATTGCAATGTTCTATAATTAAGAAAATTGTAAACTATAAGAAATAGAAAGTGAAAAATTGAATAGTTGATAAGAGCTGGGTAATATTTAGGTTCAACTTCATATTTTTAAGTTATTACAAATGTAATTTTGAGGGGGAACTCAGGTATCTTAACCTTTACTACAGGCTGGGTGCTAAGGGTTGTTTATATAGCAGCAGTGTAGATGGATACTTGGTAAAAGATTTAAGAAGACTATTTTGAGGACATGTAAGTGCTGTAAAAATATAGATGTTAAACCAGATAACAGTGTATTTGATGTCATTCATACATATTATAGATGAAATAACCCATTCATGGTATTGCTAGATTATTGAAAATACTGATTAATGTTAATGTGTTTTGTTCCTTCTAACAGAAGTCTAATGTAGGTATATGCCCTCTATACAGGATGAGTTTTTAACTATTTGTTCTAACTTGTAGGTTATGGTTCAATCTATTTTGAAGGAGAAGTGAATTTGACAAATCTCAATTTGGATGATATTGTGCATATCCGAAGGAAAGAAGTTATTGTCTATTTAGATGATAACCAAAAACCACCTGTGGGTGAAGGGCTAAATAGGTATGAATTTCTTTATATATTTAGGAAATAGTCAGCTAAATCACAGGGGGTTTTTTCCGTAAACACAAATGTGTTCATGTTATGTACATTTTTCTGCAGTTTGTTTTTTTGACTTACTATACAGTGTGTGATTGTTGTTTCTCCACTTTCATATAAAAAGATAAATGATAAAGCAGTACTAGACTATGACTTCTTGACTCCTTTTTCCTGCTATTAACAGGTTCAACTGTTAGTACCTAAAAACGTTTTTACTAGTATTTTATTTTCATATTTCTGTGGTGACATGTTAAGTCTTTCGTATTTTTCTGTTATCTCTTAGACATATGAAAGGGCCATAGTTAAAATCATTTATATTTACAACCTACCAACGTTGAATTATAAAGAAATAGGAAATCCAAACAGTCCTATAAATAATAAATTGAATCAGTATTCAAAAACCTCTACCTCAAGAAAAGTCTCACTGGTGAATTCTACTGAACATGTTTTTTAAAAGATTTTATTTATTATTAAAGAGAGGGGAAGGGAAGGAAGAAGAGTGGGAAGAGAAACATCAATTGGTTGCCTTTTGCGCACTCTCAGTTGGGGACCTGGCCTGCAACCCAGGCAGGTACCCTGACAGAATCGAACCAGCAACCTTTCCGTTCACAGGCTGGTGCACAGTCCACTGAGGGCTCTACTGACTATTTAAAGAAGAATTAATATCAGTTCCTCTCAAACTCTTCTAAAAAATCAAAGAGGAGAGAGTACTTCTGAACTCATTCTGTGAGGCATTCATTACCCTGATTTCAAGTCTAGACAAAAACATTGTAACAAAACTACAGACTAATATCCATGATGAATATTGATGTAAATATCCTCAACAAAATACCAGCAAACAGAATTTAACAGTACATTTAAAGATTACACACCATGACCAAATGGGATTTATTTCTGCAATGCAAGGATAGTTCAATATACCAATATTGGATTGGCCAAAAAGTCCTTTTATTTTTTTCTGTAAAGTAGGAGACACATTTTTAATTTTAACTAATAACGTTATTGAATTGGATGTTTTGAGTATGTTGGCTCTCTCCCTCTATTTATTGGCTTCTAGTGAGTAGAGGCCAGAGCTGCTGCTAAACACCTTCCAGTGCATAAGACGCCACAGCAAAGAATTATTTGGCCAAAATATCTATAGTACCAAGAAATTTTACAAACCACACTTGACATAGTCCATCAGTCACAGCACCTTCTCCATATACTGCACAAATCCTTCTTTTTTTTTTTGCACTTCCATTGTATTTTTACCTTCTTGAAATAATAAAGGATAATAGGCTGAAAATGTGTTATTTTCTTCCATCTTCAATATTAAAATGGGTGCACAAAAATTCACCAGTTTTGTTTTTTTTTAATGCATGCTGATATATGACAGCTGTCACAATACAATCAAAAGTGTTTTGAATGAAGTAAAAGACAACTAAGCACACTAGAGCCATCATACAGAAAAACATTTTTTCCATACATCATTGTATGGAAAAGTCTTTTGGCCAACCTAATACATCACATTTACAGAACGAAGAAAATCATATTGAGCATCCCTTTTGGTTCATATTCAACAGGAAAAGACTTTTTTTTCTAAAATCAGGAACAAGACAGGGATGCCCATTTCTGCCACATCTATTCTACATAATACTGGAAGTCTGAGCTAGAGTAATTAAGAAAGAAAAAGAAATAAAAAGAATCAAAATTGAAAAAGTAGAAGGAAAATTAATCTGTTTGCAGATGATTTGATCTTACATAAAAACAGCCTAAAGTTTCCACTAAAAAAAAATTGCTTAAACTGAGAAACAGATTCAGCAGTATACAAAATTAATATGCAAAACTCAGTTTCTTTCTTTTTTTTTTTTTTTTTTAAGATTTTACTTATTTTTAGAGCACTGGGAAGGGAGGGAGAGAAACATTAATGTGTGAGAAATGCATTAACTGATTGCCTCTCACCTGCTCACAACCAGGGACCCAGCCTGCAACCCAGGCATGTGCTGTGACTGGGAATCAGTCTGGCAACCCTTTAGTTCATAGGCTGGCACTCAGTCCACTGAGCCACACCAGCGAGGGCGAATAACTCAGTTTCTGTACACTAACAATGAACAATCTAAAAAGGAAGTTAAGAAACCAATTTAAAACAAACAGAATAAAATACTTAGGAACAGATAAACCTTATCAAGAAGACAGAGGCTTGTTCACTGAAAACTATGAAACATTGCTGAAAGAAATTAAAGATGACAAGTAAATGGAAAGAGAACCTATTTTCATGGACTGGAAGACTTAAAATTGTTAAGGTCTCCATACTATCCAAAGCAACCTACAGATTTAATGTATCCGTATCAAAATCCCAGTGGCATTTGTTGCAGAAATAGAAAAGTCTACCCTAAAATCATAGGGAATCTCAGGAGATCCCAAATAGCCAAACTAAACTTGAAAAAGAACAAAACTGGAGAACTTAACATTTTCTGACTTTAAAACTTAACGACTATAAAGCTACAGTAACCAAAACAGTGTGATAATGACATAAAGACAGACAATACAGACTGACGGAACAGAGAGAATATGAGGACCCAAAAATAAACCCTCACATATATAATTAAATGATTTTTGACAAGATTGCCAAGGCCATACAATGGGGAAAGAACAGCCTCTTCAACAAATGCTTTTAGGAAGACTGGATATTCACAAGCAGAAGACTGAAATTTAACCATTACATTATGCTATACATAAAAGTCAACTGCCCTGGCCAGTGCGGCTTAGTTGATCAGAGTGTCAGCCTGTAAACTGAAAGGTTGCAGGGTCAGTTCCCAGTCAAGGCACATTACCTAGGTTGCAGGTTCAGTCCCTTGTCAGGGTGTAAATGAGAGGCAAACCTGTTGATGTTTCTTGCTCACATCAGTGTTTCTCACCCTCCCTTCCCCACGCCACAAAATCAATAAGCTTGTCCTTGGGAGACAATGTAAAAAAAAAAATCAACTTAAGATGGATCAAAGACCTAAACATTAGACCTAAAACTAAAACTCTTAGAATAAAAATTCTATTTTCTTTTTAAGTTTCACAAAATTGTATTTAACAAGAATTTCCTGGATGTGACACTAAAAACACAGGCAAAAATATTAAAAATAAACAAATTGAACTTCATCAAAATTTAAGACTTCTGTACATCAAAGAGCACAATCCACAGAATGGAAAGGCAACCTATAGAATGGCAGAAAATATTTTCAAATCATATATATGATAAGGGGTTAATAACCAGAATATAGAAGGAGAAAATGGCTTAAAAACAACAAAAAAAGGAAGTAGGACTTGAATACACATTTCTCCAGAGATATACAAATGGCAAACAGGCATATGCAAAGATGGTCAACATAACTAATAATTAGGGAAATGCAAATCAAATGAGCTATCACAACCATTAGGATGGTTAGTATAAAAAATAAATTTTTACAAGAGTATGGAGAAATTAGAATCTCTGTATATTGTTGGTGGAAAAGAAAAATGGTGCAGCTGTTATAGAAAAGAGTATGATGATTTCTCAAAAAATGTAAAATGACCCAGCAATTCTACTCTAGGTATGTATCCAAAAGAATTGAAAGCATGATCTCAAAAACATGTTTACGCACCCATGTTTCGTAGCAGCACTATTCAGAGTAGCCAAGAAACACATATCAGTAACAGATGAATGGATAAACAAAATGTATCTACGTACAATGGAGTATTATTCAGCATTAAAAAGGGAAGGAAATTCTGACACACGTGACAACATTGGTGAGCCTTCAGGACATAATGTTAAGTCAGAAAAGATAAATACTGTATGATTCCACTTATTTAGGCATCTAGACAGTCAGATTCATAGATATAGACAGTAGAATGGTAGTTGCCAGTGACTGGAAGTAGGGGGGAATTGGGGAGATGTTTTTTTATGCTATAGGTTTTTGGTTTTGCAAGACAAAAATGTTCTGAAGATTGGTTGTAGAACAATGTGAGTATATTCTAATACTACTGAATATACAGTTAGAAATTGCTAAGATTGTAAATTTTATGTTACACCTTTTTACCATAGTAAATATGTTTTTAAAAGTCATCTATTAGTACATGCTAGTCATTGTTCATTGTATTAGGTACAAAGCATAGAGAATGAATAGGATACGGTCCTTGAACTCAGGTACTGATCTTAGAAGGGTACATTAACACTATTATAATCATCTTCACACTCATTATTTAAGGGTGTGATATTAATTATTTAATGGTATGATATTCCTAATACACTATTTTGCTGTGTATAATGTGCACTTTTGTGCCCAAATTTTTTTAGGGAAAAATAAGGAAGCATGTTATATATGGGTAGTACTAATTCCATATCTATATAAGTGCTTTTAATTCTTTTACTTATGTTTACACATTAAAAGTGTAACTCTAGAAAGCATAATGATACTTGTATGCAAAAATAATACCCTGGAATATGATAATTGGCTTTATATATAAATAAAAAACAGAATTAAAATGAAAGTTTTTCCTAAAAGTTTGGGCCAAAAATGTGGGTGCACATTATACAGAGGAGTGCAGTATACACAACAAAATACAGTAACTTCATTTTTTGTTCATCATTGGTAATTGCTGCTATTACTGTTGATGCTGAGTACACTAGCACTGTAAGACCTTAAATGAAACTTAGGTCTTAGCACTGAACTATGGCCACCAAACTATACACACTAGACTATGTCAAGGATGCATACTTAAGTGTTACTAAAATTAAATTGGAAGTAATTTGTATACCAAAGTAGTTCGGAATAAATGGAATTTTACCCTTGAATCAGATACCGAGCTAATTAATGTGGGGGTTAATTCCTTGCTCTTAAGCTTATCTTATTTGGGAGATAAGATTTAAGGCTATGACACATCTGCAGAGTAATTCCAAAGTAACATAGGTACCTTTATTTTCTATTTCTATAGATGTTAGTTAGCTTTCTGGTCTTAAATGGGAAACGTTGACATTTTACTTGGTTGTGTGTTACAGGAAGGCTGAAGTGACATTGGATGGAGTTTGGCCAACAGATAAAACATCTCGTTGTTTAATAAAGAGCCCAGATCGACTTGCTGATATCAACTATGAGGGAAGATTAGAAGCAGTTTCAAGGAAACAGGGAGCTCAGTTCAAAGAATACCGTCCTGAAACAGGTTCTTGGGTGTTTAAGGTATAGTCATTTAACTTAGTTATTATTAACTGTAGTGAGAGTCACAAAATGTTTGTTATTTTCAAATTAGGAAATACATGTAGAGATGCATCATGATTTGCTCCAAATTACACATCTAGTTAAACCCTAGAGCAATAAGACCTATTTATAAACTTTATGGGCTAATGATTTAAATCTTCTTCCCCATCCTGTGAGCATTTAGATATACTTCCTCAGGTGTGATTATTTAGTATGTGGCATCATTTAGGGACATCAGGCAGAATTTTTGTCTCTTGTTGAATCAGCTCTTCTTTAATTGTCATTCTTTTAAAGATTCCTAGAATGAGGAGATCGCCTTCCTCGCTTCCTTGATAGTTTAACCCATTGGTATCTTTCTCTTCTAGGCCAGTTGGATTATTTAACTTATGGAAGGCTCTTCTGTTAGCAGAGAAAAACTAGGCAGTATTATAGATGTGAAAATAGTAATGGCTCTTTTGGATTTCATTTTCTGTTTATATATTTAGTAATTACATGAGCCACTAGTACATGCATCAACATCTACTAAATTCTAGCACAATAGTAAAGTGCCATGGATAACATTTCATTGCGCTTTAGATAAATTTTTTAAAGCTAATCTACAAGATAGCAAACACAAATATTGTGGAAGCCCTTCTGAATAATTACAGTGTTAAAAGTGATTTTGTTGGATTCTTCTCTTCTTAGGTCTCCCATTTTTCTAAATATGGCCTTCAAGATTCTGATGAGGAAGAAGAGGAACAGCCATCCAAAACTAGTACGAAGAAATTGAAGACTGCTGCTTTGCCTCCTGCCAGCCAGGATACACCATTCCAGATGGCTCTTAATGGCAAACCAGCACCTCCACCCCAGGTAGAGAAAGGACAGTGAATTTGAATGGAATCCATGATACAGAAGTTAAAAGCAAGTCACTCAGCTAGCACAAAGCTGTTTTATGATCCCCTGGAACTTTGAAAAGTACAAATATATTGCCAATCATGTTGAGACTAGTATAGGGGAGGGCATGAGGTAGTACTGGCACCGGTTTTTTAATTGAGAGATTTAAAGAATTATCTTGCTCTTTGGATCATTCCTTCTACAGATTGTCTTTCTTAAACACCTCCCTCTTCTTTTGGACTTGCTGAATTATCTGCTCAGTGATCAACTTCAGATACAGCCTTTTGCTTGTATGGGTTGATACTAAGAAAATACTACTTTTGTTGACTGCTGATGTGCAAGTTTATTTCATCTTTATTTCCATGGTTTTTTAAAAAAAGTTCGATTAATTTTCTGCAAGGGTTTTTAACTCCATTTTCTCAAGTTGTTTGCTTATACTTCAAGTAACCTCTTGATAATTGTATTTCAATTTTTCAAAAATACCTAATTTTTATGAAAATAAAGTTTTAAGAATATAAATGAATTATTTGGCTTGGAGAGAATAGGGGCTGCATTGTTTATTGCAATTACTTGTATGATACTCCTTTTCAGTATTGTTAAACCAGCATAAACCTTTTGTCCTTGTAAGGAAAGGTTTGTAATTTAAATATCAGGTAGTTTCTTATTCAACTCATAAAAGATTTATTTTCATTTGGATGTTTATATTCAATTAAGTTACAAAAATTTTTTTCTTTGCTGCCATACTTCCTCAAATAAGAGAGCTTGATATAGAATTCCTTTGTAAAGGATCCTCTCTACCTCTCAACTGCTAAAAGCAGAACCTTTGGAATTTTCAATGCTACAATTCTTACAGCTGCTGATCTGTGTGATTTTTATGGTTTATTAAATAATTTTTTGGGAGGCATTTTCTGGATATTGTTGTGCTTGTATGTTTATGTTTGCGCATAGAGTAAAGGGGAGGGTGTGATAAAAGTGGGAGAGGAGAACTATATTGAGTTTGATGTCTGTAGTCTTTGTAGCATTTAGAATACCCCTAAGATCTCTTCTGAACTAAAGAAATGCTGTAAATGGACTTGGATTTCTAGTTTATTTTGTCTGTATCATACAGTTTTTATAATTCCTTTCTTTCCAAACTGGTTTTTGATCCTAACATTATATGTATTTCTTAAGATAATAGTCAGATAGCCTTATTTTTTGCCAATAAATTAATATGAAGGATCTTTAGAATACAGCTTGGTGGGGGGGTGGGGGAGCTTCATCCATGGACAGATGAAAATTTGTGAAATTTGACTATCAGTGGTTTGTAGGCTCTTTAATTTCCAGAATACAAGTAGTAACAGTTATATATTCCTGTGTTGACACTTAAGTAAATGAGAGCCCTTTGACAAACTGAACACCAGAAAATTTCAGGACAAGGTTCTATCTAGGACAAAGGTGATAAGGATCAAAATCTGCAAAGAGGATATGATCAATAGGGTTTATTTTTTCAGATACCCTCTTTGATGGAAGAAGTGGGTAGCCTTTGACCTTTTGGATAGGGAAAGCAGAAATGGGAGAAATGGTTTGAGCTGTTTAGATATTCAGGCTAAGGTGTTAAAATAGTACAGTGGGATTCTAGAGAACTCTTTGTTTATTATTGCCCAGTGGTTGCACAGTTTTTAGTATTGTCATTAAAATACTTAAGCCATCTAAATAAAGTGGGAATTAGACAATCTAATCTTTTCTCGCATCAAATTGCTATCTTCACACTGTCACCTTGCCCCCTTGGAGAGGTTGATTTCCATGATACACTCTTCTTCTAGTCTGTTGTTGCTTTTTTCCCCCATACATAATCTCAGGTTTTAGGAAGATTTAAATTTTTGTTTAATGATCACATTTATTCCACTGCCTTTTTTATAACATCTACTGTCACCTCTTTGTAGTTCGTTCTTAAGCCTTACTTTGCTCCTAAAAAGCAAATAAATCTAAGCAATCAGAAAACATAAGGTAACTAAAATTTCATGTAATCTTCTCTTCTATGCATTTTAAGTTCAGGAAAATTTTAGCAGAGAAACCTTTACACAGATTAATTAGGGCAGTTGCAGAAACATTTTGTTTGGTAGTTAGAACAGTATTTCCAATTTGATGATCTGAGATCCAGTTTTTAGCTGGCTGCATCAATACCTTCAAATAATTTTAAAATATTTTTAAGGAAAATGGTGGTTAGGATTTAGAAGAAAATTCCATTTGACCTATGTATACTTTTTGAAAAGTAAAATGGCAGCTATCTAAATTTATCTAATAAATCTATATATTTTATGTATATTTTATATTTTTATGTAATTTATATATAATTCTATAGTTGCAAGTCTGTTTGCTTCAAATATTATTGTTATTGAGCCCTACATCTCCTGCGATGATACCCCTTCGTATGTGTGTAGAAATATACACACTTAATTTGATGGACCTTTGAAACCCTGAGATAAAATTTCTCTTAAGAACATAATATTGTTGACAGGGCTGGTTTTCCAGCAATAGGAATATAAAGCAGTTTTTGCAGTTAAGAAAAAAGTTGTTTTGGAGGCAGGCAACAGAAGTAGTTATACTAGATTGAACTATTTGGATGAGAGGACACTGTGAATTCTTTTGATACTTGTTTGGCCATAGACTGGTCATTTACCCTTTGTTGAATAAGGGTGTCTTGATTTACTGTACCTACTTTTATCACTGTACCTACTGGAGTAAGAGATGCTTTACCTTTGGGTGTTGGCAGCTTTGTTTTTTATGAGGAAAATTATTTTGAGTTAAAGAGTGGAGGTTTCTCAAAATCATTAAAAGTTTAATCATGAAACTCGCCCTCCCATATACCTAAATAAACAGTCATTTCAACTATGCACTTAGCATTTGTAATGTACTTTGCTGGTATTTAGACATGAATAAGATATCCCATTTTAAAGAGACTACAGTGTAGGAAAGGGAGAGTTAAAATGACACTCTGGCTGCTTCTCCAAGTACATGCTTTTCTTTTCCACAGACCTCCCAGAGGATCCCTTTTTAATTTTCTCCCCAATTCCTTCTGAACTTTTTTTTGGAGAGGTGGGGGGCGGGGGTCTACTTGTCTTTCCAGGACTGGCTTTGAAGAAGCACCTGATCTCCCAAGATTTCATTGAAAAGAAACACAGGCATCCTTTGTTGGGAGTTTATTGCAATAACATAGATACACTTTAACAAAATTTAGGGTTCTGGGAGCTTATCAGGTCATCATGGTTTCATAGTAATTCACTTTCCCCCTGTCCACTTACTGGATGATATCACTTTGAACTATGCCTGAGGATGGAGCCAATAAAACCTTCATCCTTAACATTCTTCTAAGAGATAGGCTGGTCCCTTAGGTCTCTAACCTAATTATTTGATGATATCATTCCCATTTGCCTGTAAGTGTTCTAGGTGAACATCTCTTGATGTTAGCATTATTACTTTGTTGAACAATAAGTTGAAACGATCTTCTATTTTTCCTCTTACCCATCCTTGCTCCTTGTCCTGTCATAGTTAATTACTTTCTCTACTGTGTACCAAGCACTGCATAAGGCAATAGAAATAACAAAGAAAGTGTTCAGTGATGTTAAGTTTACCAATGTGTTTGGTGTTACATATGGAAAACAGCAGACCATGTCTCCTTTCAAGCCTCAACAGTCTGGTGGGATGGAGATAGATAGATACATATATAAAAAAATACATTGTGATACATTGAATAAAATAGGTATAAAGAGGGTGTTTTGGGAGCCCCGCAGAAGAGTATTGTGAGAGGTTGACAGAGGAGGGGCACTTTTCCTGAAAGTGCATTGGTTAAAAATTAACATTAGGGAGCTGTTGGAGTGAGTGTTCCCATAATCCTTGTAGTTAGAATGAGAACATTGTCACCAGGGCTGCATTTTTGTAAAGCATAAAAGTAATCAGACCTGCCTGTAGCTTCCCCAATAAGTAAAAAATAGTATCATTTTTGCCTTTTACTGTTACCTAGCTTCCAGTTTGTTAAAGCAGTCTTTGATGATTGGTCACATCTTAAGTGGTAGTTCACTGTGTATCCAACACCTTGATTTTTCTACAATTATAAATGGGAGTAGTCGTTCTTTTGGTAACTCTTAACACTTTTTAAGTGTAAAGGAATTATTCCCAGATTAAAATTGTTCCTGATAATGTTACTTTGTTTTCTCCTTAGGGAAATTAGAGTAGACAGTCCTTGTATCTTACATGGTACTGCACAAGTAGATGTTAGGATTCAGTCACCCAAAAGATAAATTCCGGGCCCCACCTTGTGTTAACTAGAAATTTATTTTTAAATGTTTTCTTTAAGACAGTGCAAAGTTACTGGAGACTTTGATATTTGTACTCCCCCCCTCAATGGCTTCTAACTACAAGGCAGTATGAGGGCAGGGTGACCCTGTGTAAATTGGAAAATGGTAATCACTAACTCAATCAGGTAAGATATAGTCTTTGTATGAAGACCATTTGTTCATCATGTGTGTTGCCTCAGGGTCCAGAGACCAGACCATGGTATTATAAAAAGGTGATTGTATGAACTGTCATTTGGAATCCAAGTACTTATAGGGGAGATTTTTAAAATAATTGTTGTCTTCTTTAGCAAATATCCTACCTCACATTGTATAGAATGGGCAGAATCTAATATTGCTGTATCATATTCTGAATAAACTACATATGTCTCAAAGCTCTATGTCTATTTGGTGTAATTTAATGCTGCTTCCCTGATCTTTCTGCTGTCTACAGAGCCAGAGCCCAGAGGTGGAGCAGTTAGGGAGGGTTGTGGAACTGGACAGTGACATGGTAGATATCACCCAGGAGCCAGTTTTGGATTCCATGTTAGAAGAGAGCGTGCCTGAGGATCAGGAACCTGTGTCTGCCTCAACACACATTGCCTCTTCATTGGGAATTAATCCACATGTTCTACAGGTGAAGTCCTAACCCACTCTTGCTACAACAGGAAGCCAAACTAATACGTACTTCCCTTGCATCATATCAGGCATTTTCCTTCATTTAAGAGCATTGAGTGTTAACTGGAATAAGAAAAAACAGGAATACAGCCCAGTGTTTGAGCCTTATTTTCCCATTTGGGGAGGAAAGGCTAGGTTGAAATTAAGAAGGTCCGGATTCTAATTCCAGTTTTATAGCTACTACTATGTGACTTTAGGCAAGTCATTTAACATTTGTGAGTACCGATTTTCTCTATAAATTGTTACTTTATTTACTTCTTAAGGTAGTTTTGAGGCTCCTGCAAATGCGCCACAAAAGTTAAAAAAAGAAGTAATAGATTCGGTTTTCAAGTTCTATCTCAACTTCCCCCTTTCCTTGCCTTTTGGTATGTTATGAGTTTAGCCTTTGGCTTATGTTTGACTTTGAAATCATTCACTTAGCAAACATGTGAGTGATAGCTACGTGCCAGGCTCTGGTAAGACTATAGATGGAAAGGAGGAGAAGGATTATGTAACTTCTACCCTTTGCGTACTTACAAGTGTAATTGAGTCAGTGACACAGTGTTATACCTCCTCTGGGCACAACCTTGAGGCAGAGTGATTTATTTGTTGTTGTAAACTGCATTTTTTCTGTGGTCTTTGGATTTGGGGGAGCATATTCATTCTATAGGTATTGCCTTTTTAGATCATGAAGGCATCATTG